CTCCCCTCCCCCCTTTCCTGGAATAGTTTCAACAGGTCTCATTTTTCCATTTATATTCAACAAAATAATAGCAGAAAATTTCCCAAATCTTGAGAAAGAGATGCCTATTCAGGTACAGGAAACCTCTAGGCCAACAAACAGACATGATTAAAATAGAACTTCTCCATGGCATATTATAGTTAAAACAATTAGCACAGAGAACACGGAAAGAATATTGAAAGCTAAAAAAGAGAAAAATCAAATAACATATAAATGTGAACCCATCAAAAGAACAGCAGACTTCTCAACAGAAACCTTAAAAGCAAGAAGGGCAAGGAGTGAGGTATTTCAAGCACCGAAAGAAAACAATTTCAGTTGTAGGATATTCTACAAAAACTTTTAATGGCTCATCTTCTCTCTTTCCTCCATCCATCATGTTTAACTTCTTAGGTCATATTTAGCTTTGGAGGTCTCAAACCTTTTATTTCTCCTTTAGTTTCTTTCTCCTTTACCTGAGGTTTAATACTAACAGCAGTTCTAACCAACTGGAGGACATTCTAACCATGATCAGTGACTGGTTTTCATTTTTGCTCATTTTCACACATCGGTGCTTCTATTGGCAATGCTAGAGTATTTAAAAGTTCGATTCTTTTAGTATTTTGTGGGGAAATCAAAGAACATATTTCAATGACTGGAAAGGAAACAAAATCCCCTTTCCACTTCGTTGTTTTTAGCTTGATAGATACTTAAATCCATGTATCAAGGAAAAATGAAGCAAACTGATTTATATTTTGGGAACATTTTGGCAGGGGAGAGGCAATAGGAGAACTACGCTATGAAATTTGTCTTATGAAAGTCAAACTAACTCTACCAACCAAGAGATAATCTGATATCATTTCACTATCAGCAGGACAAAAACTCAAACTTCTGAGGAAGGAATTCCATTATGCCAACACTCTCAAGTCTCTACCCAAACTTACATTGCAGCACTGTGTGAAAACTGGTCTTACTTTCAAAAAACACTGACAGCATTCATTTTTTCTTCATGTTCTGATGCTTTTTCTGTACTGTGTGGTTGGCACCTAATCCATCTGAATGTATTTCCTTTAAGTGCTTGCAAATAAAACCAATGCTTTGCCTTCTCTGCCAATTGCAAAAAGGATGTTTTTATTAATTGGATAATTTAGATCTCTTATTATTCTTCCCTCAAACTCAACTTGGAAATCAGAACTTAACTGCTAATGTGTTAGAGGTAAATGCTTCCCAGACACAGACAAACCACACCAGAAGCCTCTTCTTCATACCCTTCTCCTGTGATTCCTTTTAACAGACCCACTTTCTCACCAGGCAGTGGCTCTAGCCCAACAGCACCCCCTGATGATCTGGGTCCTTGCCTGCATAAGCCCCAGAACCTTTCACAGTTTTTATATAAACATCCTCTCTTAGCTCCTGAAAGACTTATCCACAGCCATGCCACGGGCTCTCTCAGAACAGACTCCTCCTGGGCGAGCCCTCCTCCCACTCTGAGAGTGAGTCCTCCACAGCCATTCTGGCTATGCTGCAACTCAGCAACTCTGACACCACTGACTGCTCTGAGACACCTTCCCCAAACTGGGGTCAGAGGTCTGCTGTGACAGATGGCACCAACCTAACCACCCCTGCTGCCACTCATGTAATTATTCTTCCTTCCTTTGCCTCCACCATTTTTTTTTAAGGATTGATTTGTTGCTTGCCATCTGGTTTTGCAGCTGAGCATTTTTACTTGCATAGGTGTTGATTAGTAAACTGACTCTACCATCTGTCAGGGAAATCCATTTTATGCTAAGAATTTTCCTTGTTTTCATTCACTTTTGAGTTACTCTTAAAAAGTCTGTTTACGGCTTACCATGTTGCTGTGATTGGTAAGCTGTATAGAGATTTGCCTTAATAAGGAGTTAGTTATCTCACAAATTTAGATAAATATACATCATAATATTGCTAGGATTAGATCATGAGGTCTAAAAGGTCTTAAAAATTATAACCCAGTATTAATGTCTGGTAACAGTTTTCCTCAGAGAATCATATTAATGTATCTTGTGTAAATAGTTTATATATCTTTTTTTCTGACATAAGTGATTACTGACTGCCTGAAACTAATTATTCTTGCTCCTCTTTCACTGTCAACTACATCTTTTGAACTCCTTTGTCATTCAGGGGAGTGAATTGTGTGAATAATCTTACATTACAGAAGTAGTGTAAGAATTATGTAAATAATCTTTCATTACAGAAATTTAACCCTGCGAATTTTTTGGAATTATTTTTCCTGAGCCATGCTACTTACAAAATTTATGAATATGTTTTTTAGCTTACATATCAATAATTTGTCTTGTCTTTGTGAAAAATATTTGTATTTTCCATAAATGTGATAGCATTTAAATATTTCTAAATGTTAAGCAATCACTAGTAAGTGATTTATTAATGGCTAAAATGCTCCAAAGTTGTATGTCACAGAGTCTTAATTGCATGTCACATACAGGTAATGGCTTTCCCTTGAAAGGCATAACCTTAGACAAAATAGGAATTTTTTCTAAAATTAATCTTGTTGTGAACTTTCAAATGGGCGCTGTCCTAGATAAGCTTTTATTTTTGTTACATAATTTGTATATTCTATGAGGTTCATAAATCTGTAACTTTATGCATAGAGCAATGTTATAAGAATTGGTAATGTTTAAAAACATTGCAATTATAGAAAATAAAAGATATATTTTTGGATGATTTAGTGTTCATCCAATGACTGGAATAAAACATTTTCCATGACTTAGCCCGAGGTGAGTCCCTCCCTTTGTCATTACTAGAAGTGCTCAGGAGGGTTGGATTCCTCCCTTGACCTGCCATGCTTTAAGTGATTCCTAACTTTTAAAAACTTTAAAGGACATTTTCAGAACCTTTAACAAAAAAGTAAAAAGTAATGAGAGTATGTCAATTTATGGACTGACATGTTTAATTTTCTGTTTTTAAGACTTTTTGAGATCCTTAGTTATGCATATAGTCTGTGTGCCCCATCCGAGGTGCTTGTTAATTCCAATTGTGGATTCATTGCACATAGATTCTCCATGGGACATTTTTTTAAAATATTGATTAGTTTACACAATAAAATAAACTACCTTCGGTGTTTATTTCTAATCCCCAATTAATATTATTGAAACCATCAAAACAAGACTCAGAGCAAATTCCCTAAAATTAGTAGTATGCCTCATCCTGATATCCAAAATCCAAAATGCTGCAAAATCTGCAACTTTTTGAGCACTGACAAGATGCCATCAGTGGGAAATTTCACACTTGACTTCAAGAGACAGGTTGCATGAAAAATGCAGTTGTACTAAAATATTGTATAAAATTCTCTTCAGCCTGTGCATATAAGGTATTTATGAAACAAACGAATTTCATGTTTAGCCATATGTTCCATCCTCAAAATATGTCATTATGTATATATAAATATCCTAAAATCACAAAAACATGAAATCTGAAACACTTCTCATCCCAAGCATTTCAGGTAAGGGATACTCAATCTGTAGTAACGTGATGATATTTAATAAAAAATGATTCTTTGAACATTCATAAGAGCAATAGCACTAGGATTATATTTACAAAGATCCACCAGGCTTGATTTGGGCAGGCAAAAGCATTCTCAAATCGTTCACCAGAGGTCCATGAGGGCTCTGAAGCATGTAGTGAGTCCCATGCCTCCTTCTTGTTTCAGTGCCCAGTTCTCTTCATGTAGAAGGCTCTGAAGCTATGGTTATGATAAGCTGGCAAATTTTCTAACAGCTTGAAGAAGTACTTAGAAACCTTGTAATGAAGAAATATTTATCGACTTTAGGACGTATGTGGTATGGTTATAAAATACTGAAGTTAGATTATTTTAGGTCATTTGAAAACATACTTATTTTAAAGTGAAATCATGGAAACATGGATTTCCCTGTCTGTATTTCAGGCCTATATAATAGAAGTTTATTCTGTTTTAAAATAAGCAGGAAAAGGTCACAAGTTTTGGGTATTTGTCTCTGGCATGGGGGTGTGTGTGCATGTGTGCACACACCAAGTGCATTTAGCTATAAGGTAGTTTTAACTAAATGTTCTTACTAATGTCTGTCTCATTTGCATGTATTATGTAATCTTCACACCACTCAGTGCTATGCTGTGTATAGGTGATTCTGAGCTCAACTTTTGTGAACTAAGCTGATTCAATTCAGTTAGAATATGTGTCAACTGTATAGCTATGATGTCATTAGCACCAAGTTGCACACTATAAAAATAAAAAAGGAGCATATATATGACCATCTTCAACAAGGTGCCTGAAATACTATTGGGGATATAAAATATTCAGATATAAAACAATCAAAACAAAGTATCAAGCAGTCAATTGGAGAGCGAAGGTCAAAGTAAAGAGAAGCCAGCGTTTTAACATACCTTCTAATGTTTTATGAGGTATGTGACTGCTCTAGAATAGGTTGCTCCATGACATGTAAATCCAAGCACTTGTGTTCCTTAGGGTTGGTCACCTGGCTTTGGAAACATTCATTTACTGTAGGACATCCCTGACTAAGTCTGAGTACTAACCCTTTACCCCTGTCTGAGAGTATTCATTTCAAATTCTGCATGCAGAGCAATGTGACAGTGTTCTGACTACTGAAGTCATAATTGTAAGAGCACATTTGCCCGCAGTATTTACTTGGTAGTGACTTCTTTTGACAGCATTGGGCACCTCTGTTGGCAAAGGCATGCCCACTGGCCAGCTGCTTCCACCCTTTCTCACCACCTCCTGTGCCCTCTGATATGTGAGAGTGATTTTTAGAAATAAAGGAATGGAGAGAGAAGACACTGAAAAAAATGTACCCTGCTCCTCTGACATCAGTTTTCAAAATAAATAAAAACTTGGCAGTTTATTACTGTCATGTGACTGGAAGTCTTTTATTGTCACCTAAAGGGTGATGTTTACAGGGAACTATGTGCTATAACAGGATCCTTTGCACTTTTGTCAGAGCCAGATAACAGTCAACGGCAGCTCTGGAGGTGCTGTGAGTCCAATGAGTTACTACCAAAGGCCGTTTTCCCCTTCTGCATACTCCCTGCCAGCCTCACTCAACTCGAGCATCATCACGCCACATGGCAGGTCCCTCGGTAAGTAATTTCATCCTCATGGCGTTCGTGGCAATTCCAGAAAGTACACATGAGAAACATACAAAGTTTCGAAGCAGGACAGAAACATTCAACATTCCACTATCTGATGGCCTTATCACCTTTGGAGAAAACAGACTCCTGGCTATCCATCTCTATATGCGCCTGGAGAAGGCCATTTGATTTCGACATGGTCGGAGAAAGAAAAAGTAGCTGTCTAGTTAGGAAGAAAAGAGTTTACATTACCCAGAAAACATTCATGCAGTACTTTTGCATTGAAGCAGCTCATTCCTTTGTGGAAGAGCTTTCATTCTAGAATATTCTTCACGTGTATATATATATATATATATATATATATATATAAAAGGAGGAATTGCTTCACAGCTAAAACAGTATAGCAAAGGCAGGCTGCTTCACAAAGTAGTAAAACCATAAAATACTGGCTCACACAGTCATAAACTACTATTTAAACTGATGCCTGAAGGCTACCAATCAGGGTTGGGGTGGTAGAAAGCCAAAGAATGCCCTTGAATTATGACTCCTCAGTTTTACAGAGAGATAGTTCTTAACCTTTTGGGGGTGAGGAATTAAATTAAAGATATAGCTCTCCTCCAGCAAAAAAAAAAGAATATGAATGTTTATTTTAAGAATATAAGTATATAATGTTTTGGATTTAATGAGCTCTTTAGAGTCTCTTGGCAAAGATACTATGCTATGTAAAGACTGAAACATTCTTCTATGGTAAAAAAATATATTAGCATAGCTTAGAAAATAATGTTACAAATGTTTCTTAGTTTTTAAAAATGCAATTTGAGAAAACCCAAAATGTTAAAAAATGGAACTATTTGAATTCAGACTGAAAAGGTTTCCATGATATTGAGAAACTAGAAAGCTTCTGGGAAAAGAGGAAGCTGAGGAGAAGAGAAAAGGAGAGGACCCATCCTCTAGACACCACAAATCAGCAGCACAGAGAAAGAACTAGAACACAGGTTTTTACCACTTCTGGTTGACAGCAGGAAACACTCCCTCTTCCCAACTCTAACTCTGTATTATAAGAATATGGTGCCCCTAGTTTAATAAAGAACATCTTGTATGTCAGTATCCAGCAGTGCATTGTAGAACTTAGCTTCTATGGTCAACAAAATCTCTATAAGACTTAAAATGTAGCCAGGGGACTCATTAAAGAAATATAACTATACTTGTGCCTTTTCTAATGCTACTCCTGGGAGTAATCTGTGAATCTTACAGTGATCTGCTTTTTTTGGAGTATAAGAAAGTAGAACTTCCTTATGCCAAAGTTTTCCCTTTAACTACCAATCCATAGTTTGGTATTGAAATAGCAGTCCACTATATCTAGATTTTTGTAATTGAACTATGCATTATCACACATATAAAGTAAAACTTCATAAAGCATTCTAACCATAACATTTTCCCAAATAATTATCAAAGTATTACTCTTTATTCCATTGCCTGTCTCAGTAAATACACTTTCATTCCCACCCTACCAAAAAAAAAAAAGTATCAATGCTCAGACAGGCTTTGATGTTAGACCATATCAATGGGTAGATTTTATATGTAAACTATACAACATGGAAAGGAGTTCCCTGTATAAACATTGAATAAATTCCAATTGGCTAGTGCCATGATAGGAGCAGAATTTATGAGAATTTGCAAGTGCACAATGCTCTAGGTGAAGTTTATATTTAATTGAAGACCAAAGATTGCAAAGACAATAGTTAATGGACCATATAAAAGAATAATTAAAGAGTTAGTTTTCATTGACTAACTGTAGGTTTGTATAATCTTATGAACCATATGTGACGACAGACTTGATATTGTCTGCTTAGGCTGGGACTTTGCACACACTAGGTGTTCAAAAGAACGTTGGTTGCTGATAAATATACTCAAGTCTTTTCAGAATTAAACAGTCAATCAGAGCCAAATGTTACATTGTATCTTAATTTGAAATAGCTTGGAAAAGGTAGTATTTTTATAACCAACAGCACCATTGGTTATAGCCTCATCTTTTCAAAAATATAATACAAATGTTTTTATGTTGCAAACTAAGTTGAAAATAGCCATAAGAATAGTAATGGCAGTTACACATTTTATGATGGATTTTTACCTTAGAGAGATCGGAACTCTAATTTATCCTTACAAAGAGGAGTTAAGCATGTTCAAGACCCAGGGTGCAATTCCCAACACTGCAAAAAAAATGAGCTAAGTTTCTTAAAATATTTATTTGTGATGTTTGATACAAATTTTTCATGAAAAGCCCATTTATTATATGTATATATATCTCATGTATTTGTATAAATATGAATGAAGCAAATGAATCCCTATTCTGATACAGGAAGGCTTTCTGTTTCCACATGAAAGAACTCTCTGAGCAACAGATCTGCCAAACCATGTCCAAAGTGTCTCTCTTGGTCACCAAAGTTTTGAAATTAATGCCTGAAAAACAGGAAATCATATTACTAGCTGTATCAGGTGAATGGCAATAAAGCTGATTCTCAAAAACACTTTTGAACTCAGAGTGAGTGGAACATGCAGTGTATGTATGTACTCTGTTGCTTCTGAAAGTAAACTAGAGGTTAATAAAGATGACACGAAGATAGAAACTGATTAGGATTCATCTAATTTATATCCTTGGGGCAATTTTTAGCCACAAAGTATAAAGTGCTGTGGCTTTGGTGTTTTAAAGTAAAACCAAAGATATCATGATCACCTTGGGTATTTAAATAAAATTCAGTTAATGATCATTATTTAAAAGCACTTGTTTATCTATAAGCCTTATCATCCAGGTATCTTTAGACATAAAAATGTTTGCTTTTTTTTGTTTTCACTTTATTTTAATGAAATAACTATCATTGGTTCAACAATACAATCTTTTGTCTAAAAATATATTTCATTACTTTTAAATAATGTTAGGTAGCCGTATCACAATTTCCTGAGGGAAATTACTAAACTTGTCTCACTTTGTGCCTCCTCATGTATAAAACTGATTCATGTCCTCTTCCTCCTCCCACCCCAAGATTACTGGAAGGGAAAAGTGAGGTGATGTGTGTAAAGTGCTTACTTAGCAGTGACTGTCACATGTTCATTCAACAAATGTTATTCTTCCCGTCATCCTTCTTCATAAGATGGCAAGGTCTTTGTTATTGGCCCATTTGATACATAGCTACACAATTTTCACTGCATAATGGTGGCTCAGAAGTAAAGCAAAAGACATAGAGTTAAAAGACATAGTGATGGAAACAGTATGTTATAGTTGACATCATTAATTTATCAGTCTTTGTGAATCCTGTGTATTCCATTTCACCACATTTTCTGCCCAGATTCTGCAGAGATGTATTCCCAGCATGCACAGTCTCTGGATGGCACCCCGGGCAGCGCGATACCGCTGTACAGATCCTCAGAAGAAGAGAAGAGAGTGACAGTCATCAAAGCCCCACATTACCCAGGGATTGGGCCTGTGGACGAATCTGGAATCCCCACAGCAATTAGGACGGTAAGAAATGCCAGCGTGTGCGTCTGCCTGGGTCTGTGCACAGACTCTACAAAGGACGGATTGTGCGTGGCTTTGTGCATTCCTGGGGTCTTATATAATGAGGATTGCCCTCTGACATCTGAGCAACCATGAATATTCTGCTGTGTGGCAGAGAAAGGGTACTGTCAATTGAGAGAATTACACAATCTGTTTCTCCACTTGAGTTAAAAATCATGAAAATTGTGATTTTCTTTAAATAACACTTTTTTTTAACCTTTTACCAAGGAGAGATAGAGCCATAGAGAAAAAAGAGAAGGAACAAAAAAGAAAAAAAAAAAGTGAATCTTCTAGCTGCATTGAATTCCCACATGCATTGCAAAAAAAAAAAAAAGCCACTGATTTGTTTCTTGAAATGGATGTGTGTTAACACCACTAGGAGACTGGGAGCTGTGAATTGGGAGTTGGGCGGTGAGAGGCTTGGAGTACAGGCCTATTTAAAAAAAATGAGCTTTAAGTGAGTTAATGTGATAGAAAGGAAGAGCTGTCTGAAGAAAAGCACACATTTTAGAGTCCCTCTTCAGCTGGGCCTGCACAGCTCTCTCCCTCTGGGGATGATAAGTAAAAGTGCAGGGATTTTTTTTTAAGTCTTTAAAGTCTGCCAAAGCATTGCTTAGTGTGTTGGGCCGCCCCTGCTGGCAAAGCTCACAGTAACAGAGCCTGGGCAGGCAGCTGCCTGCTGACCACGTCCACTTGAAGAAGGGACTTGTGCTAGCCGGAGAAAGAAGACAGGGACACCAGGATGAGAGCCACAACATCTTTGCAGGTGAAACTGGGGGGTGGTGTGAGCCGGTACCTGCAGCTGCATAGACTATGCCTGCCTTACCATAAAGGGCTGGGGTGTTGCCAAGAGGTCACTTCCCTAGAATACAAGGGTGGGGAGCTAAGGACAGTAATGGACAGAGAAAAAGAGATCAGGAAAGAAGCAGTGGTAAGATGGGAAATACGAAAATGAATGAAAGACCAAACATAAGGGTATTCTGCTCTTTTTGAATTCACATTAGTTGTATGAGGATTACGTGTTTTATACGCAGAGGGGAATTAAAATTTATTGTTCTAAGCATCTGTAGTACAGTTGAAGTCAAAAAAAAGTAAATCTGCATGGCAGGTGTGGGGTTCTAGACTTGTTAGAGTGAGAGAATATTGACTGTGACTGTAAAGCTTTAAATATCTGTGCTGGGACTGATGGTTTTCATATTTAAGTGACAGAAAAAGTTCAGGGATTGTGACTAATATCCCCAACTTTCTGATGACTACATGGTGAATAGTGAAGGTGATGGTGTTTTGACATTTGTTCCCCTTTTAGGATTTCTGACTCAAAATGGTCAAATTTAAAGTTTTCCCTAAAAATGTAGGGATACTAAGTCAGACAAGTATAGTATAATAGATTTTACCTATTGATTCTTGGGGCATGGCATATACACAAGTTAAGAGACCCTTGCTTTTTGTCTGTAAATTCTGAGAAGATTTTATCTAAAACCGTATAAAAATAGACATGAAAACATGATCCATTCTTTTTATCCGTAAGACATCATTTGTACCTGGCAAGGTTCTTTGTTAAATTTTTAAATTAAAAAAAAAAAAGCTGAGGTGTTAGATATGGTTAACAAAAATCAAGTAATATTAAAATTTTATGTTATCAACTGCCAAATCAGAAACATGCTTAGGTGCAAACACATACACCAAACATGTAATGCTCACTTCTCTCCTATAAAATAGAATGTAAATTATTAGCAACCCAAAAGTTCCTTAAAAGGAACACTAATTTTTATATACAACTGTGCTCTACATAGACCTTTAAACCTTTACAAAGGTCTGTGAAAACTCTTCTCTAGTTCACGTGTACTATTTGCAGCGCTTCAGAGCAGATCCCCAAGTATAGCTGTGTTTATAAATGTTGAGTCAGGCCATCACTGAGCCATGGCAGGCCAGGAAACTCCAAGGTTGTTTTCTTTTCCCGTCTGTGTAGAAAGCAACAGTTATCAGATGCAAATTGCTTTGGATTGGCTTTCTACCCAGTGTCTATATCGAAAGCAGTATTGTCTCAATGTACCATGTCACAGTATGACCAACATATACATGGCAAAAGAATCCCGTGAAGTAATCCAGAAACCTCCAAATGCCGAGAATCAATAACAACTGCTTTTTGGTTACCTTCATGAAGGGAAGCAGCTCTTTAGGTCACCTCTCCTGTGACCTTGGCCGTCTCTGTTAGCCTCTTACCACCACTCTTCAAAACAACAGCAAAAAGCACTAGGGCTCAGATCCCATGAGACTGTGTAATTAAAGCCAGCTACTTAAGTAACATACAAGATTCCATTCTTCTAATTCTTCTAATATAACATTTGTTCATTTGACCATTTTCAAAACTGGAAAAGGGAAAAAATAGAAGAGAACCTCTGTATACTGGTATGTCAAAAATATGTCTTGTTTTCTTTTTGGAAAATATGCTAATTCAGTGTGGAGCTCTGACATTTTACCAGCTATGGGAACAGGAAAATTGAAATCTATTCAGTCAAGGTCACAAGCAACAACAGCATAGTGAATTTCTACAAGTTACGGTCCATGCAAAATGATTTTGCAGGACACACCCAGAAGTAAATTTCCTCAAATGTGAGTGGACTTTTTCTCTCATGACCGCAGTATTAGGCCTAACAACCTCCATGATGGCGTTGATACAAGGAAGTTTAAATGCTCATAGCACTTCTTTTAGAAAGGGACCTTGAGTTTAGCTATTCTTGTTTTATCAGTTTCCTGTTCTCCTTTGCCAACCAACTGGGCATTTCCTGGCGTCTCAGTGCTCACCATATAAAGCTAGCAGATGGCGTTACTGTGAGATCCTCCCTGACACAGGCCCTCTAGCAAGTGCAGGAAAAAAACACTGTCTGTCAAGGTGCACTGCCATATACAGTGATATAATTTACTTATTTCTTGCTTACTCCCATTGGTTGTGTCCAGGGATGGTTAGAAAATACTTTTGCACACAGTTATGTCTTATATTTTGTTGCTGTACTACTGTAAAAGATATGAAGCTAATGAAAGAGAAATCAGTCTTTTAGGAAAATCAGTTCCTTTAAAGATATATGTTTCAGCTGTTTTGTTGGAGCCAGCAAAATAATTGACTCCTACTTCCTCACTGCATTTCCTTCCATCAGCTCTGACCATTTGACTATATCTTCAGCCAACAAGCCCCTTGATTTTTCCTTGTAGAAAAAAGGCTAGAATTCAGAGGTGATTCTCAACAGAGTCAATAGATTTGTGGCGATTGACAGAAGCATCTATTCTCAGAGATCAAAATAAATTTAGATATGGCGCATAACACTTTCAGTTTCCACATGAAAGATGCAATAACCACATGTCTGAAAGAAAAATCTCGACATAAAACCTAAACCAATACTTCATCTAACAAGAAAGAATAAGAATATTTTGGTTGCAGTCCTAACTAAACTTTTTAAATCAAGAGAACTGCCTGGGAAAATCTGGTGTATTTAGTTAACTCTACACAGAATGATCAAGTTTCTTGCTAACGTAGTTCTGAGAAAGTTAGGATAAAGTTCTAAAGGTCTTGCCAAGCGAAATGTTTAATTACAGTTATAAACGTGTATGCCTGCTTTTGCAGATAGACAACAAGGTAGAGTTACATCCAGTAAGCTAGATGCATTCAGCATTTCACTTTACAAATATTTGAGATTTCCTACTATGTTGTTTCTTGAGCATTTATCATTTTCTAGGAACTATTCTAGGCCTTTTGGGATACATTGTCTCATTCAATTTCTATAAAAATGCTATCATGTAGATATCATTATTTCATTTCAGAAAGAAGAAAATAACTTGTCCAAATTCATATTGCTGGAAAGTATTAAATAGTAATTAAAGGAACCCATATTTGAATTTTGGTTCAAAATGAGTATTAATTGTTTTTCTACTACAGTCTACTGTTTCTGTCATGCCCAAAGCCTTCGTCAGAAACATCCCCCATTACATAACTTAAAATTTAGCAAGATATAATGTGTGTACATTCTATTATCTGCTTAATGAAAATTTGAAACTGTATGTACATTTTTAGATTTGCTCTAGGACTCTGGATTTACCTACTACATTCAGTAATTTAGACTAGTAAATATCAATTTTCTCTTAATTGAAGCTGATCAGAATACCACTGAAGTAAAAAATATTCCCTAGCTAATTCTAAAAATAATGTCTTGACAGAACACTCAATCAATGTTTTTGAGAATAATGATAAACTGGGCGTGGTGGTACACACCTGTAATCCCAGCACTCAGAGGCTAAGACAGAAGAATTATGAATTTGAGTCTAACCTGGGTTATATAGAGAGACCCTGTCTCAAAAAAAAAAGGAAAAAAGAAAAAAATAATTATTATTAATCATTATCACCAAAAGAATTAAATTATTGCAACAAAAACTTCCACTTAGTGAATTTTATGTAAGTATGTCATGCCAGTATCCACCACATAGCACGGGCACTGCTTGGATGTGAAGAAATAAAACCATAGCATCAAATGTTCAATTCAGTCTAAACGCAAATGTGGGGTCATATAGTTGCAACCTGCATGCATAACCAGACAAACTGCAGAAATTGTCATCAGGTCATTGTAAATGGTTAGAAAATTTTATCACTAAACAAAAATCTGATATTACATAGACAAAGTATCTCTGGACATGGTGGCACATGCCTGTGGGCTCAGCTACTTGGAAGGCAGAGTTAGGAGGATCAAGGTTCAAGGCTAGCCCTGAGCAAACTTCACGTGACACCCTGTCTGAAAAACAGACTACAAAAGCAAAAGGACTGAGGGTCTGGCTCAAGTGGTAGAGCACTTGCCTAGCAAGGAAACACAAGGCCCTGCGTTCAATCTCCAGTAAGACAGACAGACCAAAAGAGAATATAGGGAACAAGAACACTGAAAGGCATAGCCTTGTAACTATGGGGCATTATCTTTTACAGACAGTTGACCGGCCGAAGGACTGGTACAAGACAATGTTCAAGCAAATTCACATGGTGCACAAACCGGGTATGTATATCATGTTTTCTGATCAGGTCCTGTGGGATGAAGGATACAGACTCCTCGTTCATACAAACTGTGTTCCCACAAAATGTCAAGACTCTAGCACATGTCAGGCCCACCCCCTTTCCTATCAGCATTCCTCCTATCTCTGTTCTTTTAGCAGCCCTTAAATCTCAGACCTGTGCCTCTGCCTCACCCCAAAGTGCCCAGAAGCCACCTAGGAGGTGTCCTTGGAGAACTGCTAGGGGTCCTGGGCTTGGTCCTGTGTCTGCTCCTATCCACACTTGTGTGTGGTCTGCTTCAGTATCCTCCCTGCTGCTCTATCACCCCTGTCTGCTACTTATCAAGAGTGACGATAGGTAAATCTGGCTGATCTGGACCTGCTTGGCCCAGTTTAAAACACATGCTAAAGGAAAATTATGGTCCAGAATGATGGCTGCCTGGGGAAGTGAGGACAAGGCACTGGCTTTTTTGTGTGACAATGGCAGCAATGCAAATACATTACAGAGAAGGTCAGTCTTCAGGAAAAGAAAAAGAAAAGCAAACAGTACTTAGAAATGCAAAGTAGATTTATGAAGGAGGGGAAATGCATTGTTTTTCTAGCTTGTTTCTTTCTCTGAAGCTCTGCTGTCTTGTTGTATCAAGGTGACAGAATCTGTGCTACATAACATTTCTGTTTCATTTTCTAGATGATGACACAGACATGTATAATACTCCTTACACATACAACGCAGGTAGGACAGCTTTCCTTGCTTGCAATGACTGCTTTATGTGCCACAGTGTTAGCAAGAGCGATGGTCACTTGTCTTAACACTGTCTGACCACGTCACGTTTCTTATAATTAGAGGGTGCTTGATTTATTTCCTCAGAGCATGTGTAACAAAAAGATCCATCCTTCTTCATGGAAACAGGAACTAACACTGTTTTATCTCACTCATTCCCACTGTTTATTCTCAGTTTAGAGAGTGTTTAACCACGGTACGAAGGACAGTGTGAAAGGACATGCTGTGACCTGGGTTACAAAATAAGATAAAATCTTGTCAGCTGAGGGAGTGAGTGACTACCATTGCATAAAATCTCCCAGATACACTTCCCCCAAACAAGTTAAGCAAAGTGTTTTGTGACCTTGTCTAGGCTTTTGCTCCAAAATGGAGACATTCATTGAAAGAGTTTCTTTTTTCTTTTTCAAATCCCTCTTGGGTGGGCCATTTTCTGCCTGAAAGTCACCAGTGATCAGAATAGGATAACTTCAGTTCTGGTCCTTTCCACTTGTACGTGAATGCCTTGGCTTCCTGTTAAGTGGTCTTCAAGCTGCTATGAGGGACCCCTAAATAATTTTTCCTAAATGTTGCATCGAGTGTTCCACCAAGCCCAACCACATGCTCAGGACTGCTTACAACAGTCCTGGGCTTGAAACTGTACCCTCACTTAGGGGCCTTCACCACCTACACCCTCATTTAGAGACCCTCTTGCCAGCCTGGTAGTGAATGCCATAGAGCTCTCCACTCCCTGACAGCTAAAGACCAGCACTCAGGCTTTTTAACTTAGGGATTTTGCTACTAGTCTCCAAAGACAAAATACAGGGAAATGAGTAAAACAAGCTTAGCAAACTTGTGTTGGGTCCTGGGTCCCCCAGATTATAGCAGGAAGTCCACTTAAATATTCTCCTCCATTTTTAGTCTTGATCTGGGGAACATCAAATTCACCTCCCTTATTTAGCTCAGAAGCTGAAGTCTAACTGTGGAATGGCAAAAACTGACTGCAGACATTATCCCCACTCATTTATCATGAAACTTTATACCAACCTTCAAGAGAAACAAATGAATGCAAACAGACTTAGCCCCCAAAGAATGAAGTTGTAGGAAATTTATAATTTTCAGATTTTTTTTAACATTGAAGTTTGCCTCCCATTAGTAACTAGTGAATTGAAAGCCAGGTCATAGTTATCCTGCAGAGTCCTGTGAGTTTTATCATTCGGTCAGTAGACAAGGCATATAACTCGTCTTTTCCCCTTCTACTAACCCAGCCTCCCTCTGCTTTACGTCTTGCATTTTTCTGCCTTTTCTTTTCCCCTATGCTATCCCTGCCACCCAGTTCTATCCACTCAAACAAATCCTTCAGGGCTAACTCCGTCCCATGGGTCTATAATATCTTCACTGATCAACCCACCATCTTCTAACACCTGTTAATTCTTAATATCTATTTTGCTCATTTGGTCTTTATTAAATATTACCAGTTGTTTTCAATCATTGTTCTATTTGTGTCTCATTTCCCTAGATGCACAGTAAGCATATTAGAGTTTATGCTTCCTTGTGCCTTGCACTGTATATATGCAGCTTGTTCAATGTTTTGTTGGATTTCAATTAGCATATCAATTGTCATATGTAAATCAGTTTTTAAATTATTAGAAGATATTTATTTGGGATTAGTTCTAAGTACTTTTAATCTTCTTCTGAGCCTTGCCTAGTTTATATGGTCAAGAAGAAAATTTGCTGAGTGCCTGTAAGTTTATTCTTACTAATAATCTGAATTGTTACTCATGTCAAAATAATTGATAAAGATTTATTATAGTCAATGTCTATATAAAACTAATAATTAAGAAATAACGATTAGTAAATTAATAATATCAATAAATTAATAAACACTGTGCCATCTAATGCATTATGAATGTGCTTATTGATAAAAGTTTTGGTAAAATCCTTGGATATTTTAAGGGGTAAGCAACGTAATCTGCTTTTAAAACATTATTTGCTTCTTTTTGTTTGTGTGTCTTTGTCTTTTCATGACAGGTCTGTACAACCCACCCTACAGCATGCAGTCACACCCTGCTGCCAAGACACAGACCTACAGACCTCTGTCCAAAAGCCACTCTGACAACAGCACAGATGTCTTTAAGGAGGCGTCGTCCCCAGTGCCTCCCCCACATGTTCCCCCACGACCCAGGGATCGGTCTTCAACAGAAAAGTAAGACAATCCACCCCCACCCCAAGGTGGCCTATAGGTAGCTTAAGATGAAAATAAAGTCACATCCACTCAGTAAAAGAATCAGCGCTTGTCTTACAGAGAGAATTCATTTATAGTCTTATTAGTCGTGTACATATGATGTTGTTTCTTCTACCAACATTGTAGCAAACGCTTTCAGTCTTGGATCATACTATCATAGTACCCTAAGCTAAACTGGAAGTAACTTGGCACAACCCTTACTGTCTGATCAATATTGCCTATAAAAGATAGATAGGGGTGTAGGTCAATAGTAGAGTCCTCGCCTACCATGCTGGAGGCCTTGCCCGGGTCCTATCCTGAGCACCTTGAACAACTAAACCCACACACATATTATGCTGTTGGGCTGGAGAAGGAAGCAGCTCAATGATAGAGCACTTCCTGGCAAATACCAGACCCTGGGTTTGATTCCCAACACTGTGAAAGAGAAAACGAGAGAGAGAATTAACAACAGACATGGACCTCCTTTGCTACAGCAAGTTAAAGACTATGCAGATAATTTTCAGTTTCCACAGACTTGAAATGTTGTCAACAAATAAAATATCTTCTTGAAACTAGGGAATGTATTCATAAATCACAAGTAAGGTATGAGTTAATAAGTATCTGTTTGTGAGTCATTTCTACAAACTTTTGGAGCTGATTCTAATTTTCATTGCTCCACTGAATTATTTTTTATACAAACTACTCACACTCAAATAAATATTCATAAACATATCTCCATTGTGTCATTTTTATTAGAATTCTGGCTGATATTCCTAGTTATGGGTAATCATTATTGAGTGCTCACTAAGAGCCAAGTACTAACCTAAGCACTTTTCTTATATTATATCATTTAATTCTGAGAACTTCCTAATGAGATGTGTTCTACTTTTTTAGAAAGCCTGGTTTAGAAAATTGCAGTAAGTTGGGCTGGTGGTGTGGCTCAAGTGGTAGAGCACTTGCCTAGAAAGTGTGAGGCCCTGGGTTCAATCTCCAGTACCACAAAAAGAAAAAAAAGAAAGAAAATTGCAATAATTTCTCAGCACATATGTCCAAGCTAAGATTCAAACCAGCTCTACTTAAATCCAAAGCCTGTGCTACTTCTATGGCAATTAATAAGTAAGAAAAGAATAAATATTCTTTATTAATACTGGTTTTTAAGTACCATCAATCATATAATCAGAGAAAAATTATATTCAACACTCATTGTACCATTAAGAGTAATTATAGAAGCCACAAGTACCATGAGAATAAACACATACCATGTATAAAGAAATTCTCATTTTACTACTCACCTCTTTATGATGAGTTTAGGAAGTGTAATGTCTTAAAAATGAGAAATAATATACAAAAGTGTTCTTTGCTATCAAAAATGAACCAAAATTAACTCAGGTTTAAATTTACTATTTGTCTTATGTTAATAAAAATAAGTCTCTTGTAAAGAAATTTGATGATCCCTTTAAAAATCCCAGATGGTTTTCATGCATATTATTTCATAATGCTTGGGCCCCTCTGAAAAGAAAAAGGACACAATTTTACTTCCTGTGCTTTACACAGTTGGGAAAACCAAGACTAAAAAGGCTAAAGGGGTCTGTTGAATGTTGCTCATCCATTTGGTAGAAAGCTAGAACTTGCCCCTAATTCTGTCACTTAGAGAACTTCTATTTCCAATGTGCTATGGAATCAGAATTTCATTTTATTTCATTGAATAAGAATTTCCCTATTCTAAAGTCAGAAAGTGCTCCTTCCAAAAAAAACCTGTAGTCAATAATACTTCCTTGTTCTCCAAAGGAAGCCTTTCCTCTTCAGTCCCAACTGCTTGGCAAAGTCCTTCTTTGAAGCCTTACTTGAAGTCCTGGTGATAGTCCTGGAATGACAGTAGTTGAGGGAAAAGGCAGATTCCAATGAGATGTTGCACTCTGGTGTTTCCAGGCTACACCAAAAGAGCTCTCCCACGCGTCTCTCTACTTGTGGATGTGCATGCCAGCCCAAGTGATTCTGCTGTGCTTCTCACAGTCAAACTAATGCCACTCGCAAGAAATAAGATCAAACATGGTGTGTGCATTATCCTTTGTCACTTTGGATGAAAGAAGCCAGGTCACAGAGAGGCAGATAAACTGCACAGCTTCACAGAGCATGCTGCTGCTTCTTTTAAGCTCAAACCCACATGGCTGCCATAGGTGACATAGGGTTAGTGACAAGTCCTTGTCTGCATATCTATAAAATCCTCATGTGAGTTTTTTTTGCCAGCAATAAATAGTTGCGGGAAAATACATTAAATAAAAGAGATAGCTTTCTTTAAATCATTCATGCAAAGCAAAACACAAATGTGGTCTTTTTCATAAATTAACTTTTTATCCTGAGGGATGCTTTTTTAAATCTATAATAAAATTAACTTTGAAAACAGATACTGAGTGGTATTATGCAGCACTTTTAAGCATACGGGACTGTTTTAATGTGTGATTCATTATTTATTTCTAGGCATGACTGGGATCCTCCAGACAGAAAAGTGGACACCAGAAAATTTCGGTCTGAGCCAAGGAGTATTTTTGAATATGAACCTGGGAAGTCATCAATTCTGCAGCATGAAAGACCAGTAAGCACTTGTCACTAACTAGCATCCACAGCTTTAGGCTTCCAGGGTCCCCAAATAAACCTGAATTCCCTACCATTTAGCAAGTTTTGTTACAAAGGGAATTTACTTATTTGATATTATTGAGAACTTTTTTTATTTTGAATCATGATTTGTGTATCTTGTCTCAGAATTGAAAGATTTATTTTATAACCTATAAATATTCAGAATATGCACAATTTTTAGCATAACCAAATTATGGGCCTGAGTATAGTTTTTAAAAAAAACACTTATAAAAGCTGTCCTACGTGGTTAATCACTCATTAATCTGCCTGATATATATGAACCTGGCAGATACACCCCTTGGCTTCCACATTGGTTTCTTAATATTCCTTTCACTTAAGAAGAAAGTTTCCAAATATACTTTTATAACAAGTTGTTTAATTGATTCTTATTAAATCCCTCTCAGGTCACCACATCTCAAGTTTCCCGATTGTCATCTTAATGGATCAAGATTATATTTCATTTTGCAGTATTTTTTTCTATTTAGTTAATCATATGCAAACAAAAAAAAATCTTATGCATTTGAGAAAAGCCACTTACCTCTTCTAAGTTTGAATTAACAAATAAGTTCTTCGTTGTTTCTTTTTGGTTTTGCTCCCCTCATCCCTCCTTCTGTCCTTTGCTTTCCCTGGGAGATCAGTGCCCTCAGCATCTCTTTAAAACTGCAATTTCTCTTCATCTTCCAGCCTGCTTCTAGAAAAAATTTTATGTCAATAGCCATTTACTTTCACCCTTGCCTTAAAAGAATTTTAGGATCAGTGAGCAAGAAAAAGAGAGTTTCTTTATTAGCTCCTTCAAAGAGTCGCCATGAAATCATGCTAGTATATGAATGTGAGTCCAGCCCTGAAGTTTAATTAGAAAGCCTCACTTCACCACACCGAACATGAGTGTCCATGATTTCACATGTTTTTGACCCTGTGTTTGTGGAGATGTTCTTAAAACATGCTCAAAAGCCTTATAATTACATGACTTAAACATGAATATTGTATTTATCTAAGTTTTCTTTGCCTTTCTTTAAATAACTCATTTTTTTAGAATAACAAGCTTTCAGTAGGAAAACTGAAAAAAAAAAGTACCACTATCACCAATTTTCAGGTTCCAATGCAAATTTATAACCCATTTACTAGGTTAGCTGATTGAGTATCAAAATAGCTGAAATTCTGAAATTTCCAGGATTAGAATTGAGCTGACCACAGTGGAACCATCGCATAGAGTTAAAAATGGCAAAATAGTTAATCTCATATTCAAATGTAAATAGCAAAACTTTAATGTCTATTCTAATGATTTGTGAAGCTCTTAGGATGATGACGGAACCCATGAATAAAAACCTCTTCAATGTTAGAACACAGGCACAACTGAAGAGTCTTCCCTGTTCCTCCTCTCTGGCTCATTCATGGGTCCTATCATTGTGACTGAAATTCCTACTTCACTTAAGTCTTTGGATTGAAGCTTTGAAGTTTCCTAGACTTAAAATAGCAGTCATAATAACAATCATAAGATTAGGTGTAAATCTTTACTGAGAAGTTACTATGTGCCAGCCTCTGAAATTAGTAATATATATACCTTATCTAAAGCAGTGTTCCCAACAACTCTGTGAAACAGGTGCATGGTATTCCCACTTTACACATGAGGAGACTAAGCACACATTAATTAGCTCCTGTGGCCACCTACCTGATGGGTGCTAGAGCTAGGTGGATACTCATGCACTTAATCACTACTATATTAGGTTAGCTGAGTAGGAAGCCTTTAGCTACTTACTAGTCACTATCACAATTATTTTGATTATTTTACAGTATAAATTAGTTTGTTTAGTGGTTAATTTGTAATAAATTAGTATATTTGGATCCTGAGTAATTATGACACAAGATCAGTCTACTTAAATGCTCTAAGAAGATAGGTCAGGAATCTTGGGTGTTTGTTACCAGAGATTTGGGTATGAAAAAAGTCTGTTCAGCCACAGGAAAAGGTAAGTAGAAGTTGGAAGAAAATGAGAATGGATATCATATGGAGCAGGGGAAAGAACCAAACCTTCTATCATTGTTAAATCAATTTGCTGAGAGCCAGCATCTTGCCAAATGATTTGAGCTAGTCACATATATCATTTGAGCCAGGCATTTTTATTACAAGATTAATCCTTTTATTATAGGACTAGATATGTGTTTTTCTTCAAATCGATCCTGAATTCATCCCAATTGCCAGTATAAAGAAAGGGCTGCGTAGACAGTGGTATCACAGAGACGGTTACCTATTGATATCAACAGAAGATCTGGGTGTCATGGCCACAGGAGCTGTACAGAATGCAGAGCAAGCTTGCTAACTGAGGGCAGTGCAGCTGCAAATGGAAACACTTAGGAGCTTCAAGATGTGACGAATGGACCCTGTGTCTTTTTCCTCAAGATAGCTTGAGAACATTCCTTTGCTCTTTTAATTTTTAATTTTGAAAGTTATATACAACAGCGTGACAATTCTGTGCTGTTCTTTTGAATTCTTAGATGACCTCTCCATCTGCCCAGTTTTCTTAAGTGTCATTTTGGCGTCCCCTCTCTTTCCCTCTCTTCAAGGAACTTAAAGTCATACTCATGAAGAGAACTGCCACTGTCATCTCTCTCTTCCAGTCCGTAATTTCCCCTTGCCTTGACAACAACAGTCACCTGATCAATTTCCCTAATTCTCCATGCCACAGCTAGAGAAGTCTTTAGAAAGTCTGAGGCCACTTCATTTTGTTTAGAACACATAAAAAGTATGTGCCTCCACAAGAATACTAAGAACAGTGGAATTTCTATAGCACCAAAAAACAACGAAGTGCTTTTAAATTGTAAAAACATAAAACTAAAGATTCTTCACCCTCAGTAGCTTTTAAATAAGAATCTTATGCAATTCATAGTTTTCCTTTTTCTTAAGCACTTATTTTTACACTGATGACACAAAGATAGTGCTATCCAGAGCTTGACTAGGTTTTTTTAATGGCAAGAAATAAAAGAAAACAAGGTTAGAATGAGGTACATCAGTATTTCTGCTCTTTTGTCTTTTATAAGCAGTTAGAGTAAAATATAGTTGTACCTCCTAAATGGGTTCCTAAGTGTTAATACTGATCCGGAACTTGAAGGAATTTCTATGTCGTAAGAGGGAAGAATTGGATTAGTGAGATTACAGCACACGTGTCACTGATTATCATAAGGTTTCTGTGTACCTTAGCAGTAGCTCTTGAATGGTCCATTAATACATTTGACCATTACATAATTAAAGAGATCCAATAGGCCAACCATAGCAAAGAGAAAGTTCTAGTTCTGCCCCTTACATTTTCTTTACCATAAGGTTGTAGAGGGTGCTGGTAACTTTGCTAGTTAGGAGGCAGAGATCAAGAAGATCACAGTTTGAAGCCAACCCTGGCAAGTAGGTCAAGAAACACTATCTCAAAAATATCCCACACAAAAATGGGCCGGCAGAGTGACTCAAGTCTTAGAACACTTGCTTAGAAAATGTAAGGCCCTGAGTTCAAACCCCAGTACCACCAAAAAAAACCCATAAAGGCTCTGTTCTGCTTAAGTGTGTCCCATTCATCATGTTCCAAAGTTATTGATGATTAGCAATTATTGTTTCTAGCTAGTTGTTCATTGTGACTGTGTTGAACTTAAAGACAAAATCATAATTAATAGGAAATTGCTATTATAAGGTATGATGCAAAGTGATATTCTGTTCTCTTTTCCATATTCTGTCATAAAAATATTTCTATGACTCAGAAGAACTTATCCATTTGTTAGATATTTCCTTGAGGTAGAAGTCAAATAGATACTTATTTGTGTAGCAAATTTGCTGCCCTCTGCTGGTCATAATGTTTTTAAGCAAATTTGTTTCCTCCAAGACAAATTTCCCTGGCTCCTTAGCAAAACAAAATACTATACTTAAAAGTAATGGTTATAAAATCAAGAACAAATAACCACTAACTATGTCACATTAGATACTATGACATTCGAAAGAATCAGAGGTTGTTTCCTGTGGAAAAAAAATAGTATGCTTCTCTAAACAGAAAAATTACTGGAAGATCCTCTTTAATGTTAATTATTCTGAAGAAAAAAAAAAAAAAAAGAAACAGCTCCAGAAAAACCATTCCATGAAATAATTATATGCTGCACCTATAATGATCTAAATAAAATTGGAGTAAAACAGTATTTTATAAATAGCAAAGTCTTAGTACTTTTTCAACTATTAAATCAAAATTTTTAATTAAATAGAAAATAGCAGATTAGTTACTAGTATATTTTCTTTCTGTCAATTTAACTGTTACTTCTAAAATGTAACTGAAACTAATATTTGCATAAACTAGGGAAAATATCTCAGGATTTTTACAATATTTTTCCACACAAAAGGGAATGTTCTCTCTGATTTTATTACAAAATAACATTATAGCACCAAAGGGAAATAATATTTAAAAGAAGGAAAAAAACAAATAATATCAAACCAGAACTTTTGTGTACATAGGCATTCCTTCAACTGTGTTCTTCTAACCAACTTTGAATACCGTGCCAGTACATGGCTACACTGACTTTATCACTTAGCATCCTATCAGAAATGTTTCCCAGGTTATTTCCCAGTCTTGATAATCATGATACTACATATGTTGGATAAGTTGTGCCCTGAACGATTTTGCTGTGATGTCTCAAACTTTTCTATCATTGTGTGCAGCATGCAATTACTATTATATTATTTTATTATAAAATATTAAAAGAAAACTACATTACTAAAAACATTTTAATTTATTATTAAATGCTGACTATGTATCATTAGCAAAACTTGTAAATGTAACAAGTCAATAAAACACTAGAACAAGCTCATATCAAATAGTGACTTTTTTGGAAGACAGAGTATTTCAAAACTCCCAACATTAGAAAGGCTACAGAACACTTTTTCAGAAGAGTTGTAGCTTGTAATTGGAATTCTTTGAGCTCCTTCAAGAACTATAAGGAAAAAAGATGGAATGGCTTTGAAGTGCTTAAGAAGCTCCTGGAATATGTCCTAGAAGTCACAGCCCTTCTGGCCAGGGTGAATGGCTTCTATAGAACCAAGTAATTCTTCTTAGAATATTTTTTTTCTGACCTAATATTCTGTACTGGTCAACTGTACCCCATTTAATTAGGGTGCTGTGATAGTTATCAAATAAGCAGCAGTGCACAGGTAGTATTTTAAGTACCCAGTTTTCACATAAAACCAACAACAATAATCAATGTATTACTTGAAAACATTAAGGATTCATCTGATTAAGCAACAGCTGATTGTCTGTTTTCTATTAGTAAAATAATTGTATGTGTTTTGTCAAACTGTTTAGCATCTCTAGTCTTTCCATCTTAACTGAACATTCAGAAACCACCCAAAGCAGGGGGCAAGTGAATTGTAAAAATTGGCCTTTTCTCTAAATTGGAATGAGCAGGAAGCCAAGATGGGATTGTATTACACACTCCCTTCCCCGGCTCCACCACACCCCTTCCTCTAGTTCAAAGTAGAGAGGAGAAACATGAATCTTGAGGTGTCAAACAAAACGCATCTCCTGACCAGATCTCACAGTGGTCCAAATCATCCCCCAGGTATAGGGTCCCCAACTCCACCGGGACCCTCGTGCCCTCCATTGTTTTCTCCTCCGTTGGACTACAGCAGGGCACTGCGCCCTGCCAGCTGCTGTGCTCTGAAATTCATCAAGACCTCCTGCCAGGTGAATCACTGTCTCCTTCACCCCTCTTTCTTGCAGCCCCCTCTCCCTACAACTCCGACACCTGTCCCCAAGGAGTCAGACAGGAAGCCTCTCTCCTCTCCGGCCCTTGGAGCAGCGCCTCGTAGCCCGTCCCCACCGCCCCGGGGCGGTGTCCCCATGTCAGGCTCGCGCGCCCCTGCACTGTCCCCAGTCCCGGTGAGCTCCGTCCTTCTGCAACCTCGTTCTTGCCTGGCGGGAAGGTCAAGGGTAGCCCTTGTTCTCCGGGGACTGAGAAGGCTGAGAAGAGGTTGGATCCTCAGCACCTCCCTGGGCAGCCTCTTTCCTCGGCTCTTCAGGTCAACAGACCCCACCCACCCAAAGTGTCCCCAGCGCCTCTCGTTCCTCTGCCCACCCTAGCCCCAGGCTCGCCAATGCCTGCTCTAGGGGGAATCTGTCCAGACTGCAGCCCAGATCCTGGGACCACAGTGGGGGGCAGGAAGATGGGGAGCCCCTTGGTTGCTGGTTTACTAATGGCGCTGGCCTGCTATCAATGGCTGTTGTCACTGCCCTGGTGAGTTTCCCATAGTTACGCAACAAGCCAAGGAGAGAATTAGAAACGATGGACCGAGGAAATACCTAGGCACCTAAGCGATGCCATGGTCGCTCATCTTCATATCCTCATTTTCCTCATTTTACTTTACCTCCTCCGTTCTGTCCTGCTGAGGTTTGCTGGATGAGCTGGTGCATGTCTGCGTGGGAACGCGCGCGCGTTTTTCATCCCTCGCCACGTCTCCCTCACTTCGCTCAGTGTGCCTTTTCCTTCCCTTTTCCTTCACATCTGCTCTAGACTGATCGCATAAATCCAGATGACATAGATTTAGAAAATGAGCCCTGGTATAAATTCTTTTCAGAACTGGAGTTTGGACGCCCGGTAAGTGAGGCTAGACTATTACTCTAAGACAAATAGGTGAATGTTGTTTGATTTGTTAAACATACCCTTATCAGAAGAGCGAGGTGTCATACAGAGAGCAAAAGCTGAATGCGTAAAATATGCACAAATGTGGGACGGCTAGGTCCGTGTTCAGACACTTCCAATACGTTCTTTGCAGATCATGAATTAGGATGGCTTTATACGTAATTAATTGCAAATTTAACATGTTGAGATATTTTCCTTCCCGGAATATCTGGGCAATTATTACAGCTTTGTGGAAGATTTGTATTTGTTTGCAGTTCATTTTGATCTAGTTCAAAGAATAACATTTGTACATTTATAATAATTTCTATTACTATAGTTCCCATTTGGTGAAGAATCACCAAGTCACTGGAGAGTGCTGGGTTTGAGACTCCAGGTGCCCCCTCCAAAGAGAAGAGAAGGGACCAGAAAGATCAAGGAATTTGCCCAAAATAGTAAATGGCAGAATCAGAAGTTAAACCTAGGCTTGTCAAATAGCAACAACAACAACAAAAAAAAATCTTTGGGCAATTCCCACTATAATATATTGCCAGAATATTCCCACAATAAAACACTTCATTCAATAGTAGGGATACAAGGGAAGGAAAAAATTAGTAGCCCCTTTGGACCTTGATTCCTGGTCTTCCTGGTCAAAATTACCACATCTAATTCCCAGACTCCCACCAGAGGAAGCCCCCTGGTTGGGCTTTACAGGAATTGCTTAGTCTTGGGCAAAGAATCAACTCAAACTTCAAATAACAAATTCCCTTAATAATTCAAGTTCTTTTTTAGAAATTGTATCTACCAACAGCAGTGTATTTGATGTATGTGTCACATATGTTTTATATATTTTGAACTCTTAAATAACATGTCAGATACAATGCACAACTTTAGAAGTCAGTGAACGACCTTGCTTCTGCCATATCATACACTAATGTATACTGATTATATATCGCACATCAAGTAGTTATAGTAGCCCCTTTTGCCCATTAAAATGCAAAGGAGACTTAGTTAGATTCATTATATTTTGTTGAACTGAATCAAACATGACTGTAAATGAATATAAACCAAAAAATTTTGCCTAGAATTTCCATTACCTAGTAAGAAGAATATTTTCTCATTTTTTTCTAATTTGCAACATAGTATTATCATAAACATATTTTGTTTCAGAGGAGAAATAGTCCCAAGCCTTATTTTATATGTATTGTCATTATTGATTCGCTAGTTTATAGGGACTATACCAATTTTGGTACTGAGATTAAATTATGAGCATTTTCTATAAGCATTTTCAACCACGCAACGGAAACTCACCAGCATGCTCTCCACTTACTCCTTTAATGTCTCTTTAATACCTTGCATTCCTCTGTGACCAAAGACTAGGAGCACTAATTTTGATATGATGAAATGGATTTATAAGTATACTAATTGATCACTAGCAGTTTTACCCTGTGCTTAGAATATTTACAAGCACTGCACTCTTCCTCCTAGGTTACCCTCCCATTTCGCTCCATCATGTCACTCTATGTGTATCTGATGCTATCAGCACTCAATTTCTAACTGTTGTCACCTTTTCCACATGTTCATTCCTGCTGCCATTGATTCTTCTCATTCCATCTCTACACTTCTGCTTATGTGGTACGTCTCCACCCAGCCACCTAAAAAGGCTCTGGACTATGTTCAAGACCATTCTTCTGGGGTTTCCAATGAGGTAAAAGCAACTTACTCTCTCTTTTTCAGATTTCTCTCTTAGAGCCTGTTAGTGTGAATCTGAACTTCTGTGTTTTATAGTTCACTGTGGTGTCTAAGCTAGTTTTCAACATCTGTCTTTGTATCTTTGTGGTGTGTCCAGTGTCATTGGCTACACATTTACTATATGTGGGGTTGACTATGTCTGAACCCCAAGTGAAAAATCACTCCAGCCATAGCTTTCTGTTAAACTGTTCAGTGCACTTTGGTATGCAGCAACATGAAAATCAAAAAAAGTGCCAGTCTTAGTGCATATACAAACCACCTGTTTTTATTAAAAATACTATCCAAAGGCTTCTGAAAGTCAGTTATCATCATACTTAGAGGTGCAGATTAAGAGTTCAGATTATCAGATAATCAGATGCCTATTCTGATATTTTCCTAAAATTTATTTTTATTTTCCTAAATACTTACAGCTTATAGATTTATCATCAAGCAACAATAGCAATGACAAAAACCTGGTGTGTGTGTTAGAACTCCCCAGTTCCACACCCTTTCTGGACACTGATTCAAGTAGCTGCTGTCGCAGATGAACACTGCCATATGAAATTAAATTCACTTGAAATCTCTACTTAGGAATGCTTATGACAAACACCTAGGTGAAAAATTTATGCCAGGAAATGTAATTTTTATTTGAAGTACACAGAGAGTATGAAAAATGCAGAAATGAACCTGAGTTAAACCCTGCTCTCTTCCAAGAAAAGAAAAAATTATTTCGCAAGGCACATAAAGAACTCATTAGAAGACACAAGCAAAAATGAAAGCTTTGTTATCAGCCATGTAAAAACCTCCTTGTGGGAACTCTTAGTAGCAGCTAGGATAAAAGCAAATAGAATAAACCTATTTTTTGCACAGCAGTTGCTCTGTGGTCTTAAGTGACTACAGCACTTAATAAATATCTTATTTTCATTGAAGAGTCTTCAGTCAAATACATGCAACTAGAAAACAAAACTTAGAACTTATGCTGCAGTAGATACTACTGACTCATAGTGGTGATCACCCAGAATTGCAGGCAGAGATTTTCAGGAGAAAATAGACGAAGTTTCCAGGGGTTCAATTTGCAATTCTTTATTTCCCTCAAGTAAGCATTACAATGTGAATCAAAACATGGAAGTAACAAAAGTATTTGTATATTAAATTTAAAAAAAAGAAATTAAGAAAATTCTGGATTATTGAATTCAATCATTTTTTAAGGCCTATGCCAGGCATATACTCTGAAAAAAATGAAGAAAAAAAAGCAATTCTATTCTGTATGTTATTTTACCCTTGCGTATGAAGAAAGCATATCATTTCAACATATGAACAACCCAAGAATTTATTTTGAAGTTCAATTTAATCATATATGTCTCAGATATTTTGGTCAGATATTTCTGGGATGTTTTTAAGACCGTTGGCTCATTGTGAATTGAAATGAAATTTAGAAAGCATCATGTATAATTCTCTCATTTTCTAGTTAAGAAAACTAGACTGGAACAATTTTAAGAAATATGTCCAAAATCACCCAGTAAAAAGGCAGCCAAGAAAATAAAGTTCTCATTTCTCAATCTTCCCTTCAGTGCTAATTGCTTTATACTACACTTTCTACCACTTCTAAGAGATATATTTAGAGTTTGAGTTTAACTACTTAATACTACTTTTTGTTAATTATTGAATTTACACAAAATGAGCTAACATTACACAATAATTCTAGAGCATAGAAATAGAAATTTAATCCAATGTATTCTTTAATGTTATGGTAGTGGCCAAATAAAAGCACTTTTTCCTGGCAGTTAAACTGTTTGCCATTATCTCTTTGGGACTAAGAGAAATGTTGCAGAATGTTAATAGCATATTATTTATGGCATTAAGATCATGATTTTTCAGAGTGGAAGAAAGCATACTCTCATAAAGTATCTGGGTGAGTTTTTTAATAGTCTTTGTATAACATTTCCAGCAAAAAATGTAGTGGATTTGACATTATTGTTTATTTCTTTACAATTATTTATCAAGAGCCTGGCATATGTCATGAATATCAAACTTTTTAACATTAATATAACTGAGAAATTGACCCTTGATGAAAAATAGCTAAGGACTTCTAACAAAGTTTAATCACATGACTACTTAGCAGAGTGATTCCGAATCTATATTTCACTGAAATGGCATTCTGGGTGTTTTAAAATAACAGCAATATATAAATACCCAGTAGATCACAATGGGTATTTGGGTTACCTCTTTCTAGAGACTTCCATTTATCATTCTCATAATTATTATACAGATTTTTCTCTTAGCTATTGATCTAGACTCTTTACTGTTACCTTATACTGAACTTTCTCTGTGTGCGCATAAAATGAAAAACATGTCTTAGCTCATTTTGGATGTGAAAACCAACACAAAAAGGGAATAATTGTAGCTTCTTGACTGAACTCTAAAACACAATTAATCAATTCTCACACAGCATTTTATTTTATATTGCAATATTGCTTAGGCTTACTATAAACTGGCAATTCAATACTCCCTTTAGGAGGTGTTACAAGAGTGTTCTGAATTTTGACTCTTTTGGTGATCAGCTTTGTCTTGGGGTCTCCCATGAAAGCCTCGATCAACAAGGCAATGCTCTCCTGCAAACATGTAGAATTAATATTTGTAAATTGTAATGTAAATATCTGGTTTTATTTTTTACTTTTTCTTCCTGTCTAGTGTCTAATTCAGAGTTCAGCAAATTAGAATAATCATGTAAACTTACCAGACTGGCAGAACATTTTTTCCTACTTTTATGTCCATTGAGAACCAACTATTTTTTAGGACCTAAAAATATTAGAGTATGCTTTTTCTGTCTAAAAAATGGAGGACTATTCTCATCTCAAGAGATGTTTTTCTTTGTTTCTGGGTAAGAGTCCATTCTCATTCACTAAATTAAATGAAGATATTATTTTATAGAACCAAATTCGGAGTTATACTGAAGGGAGCTTGTCCGACTGGTCTACATAAAGAATTGCAGAGTTACATGCTAATGTTTAATTGGTTGCTTAAAACTAATTTGCCAATTAATAGAAAAAGAGTTACAGAAATAATTTGTAACATGAGACTGAATTTCCTCCAAGTGGGTTTTTAATACTCTGGTAAAATGTTTCTGTATGATAGGAATTTAAGATTAAATTTATGATATCCTGCCTTTCTGGCTGATATTTTTAAACTTTCTTATAGACAAACATTCCCAAACTAGTTTTTTATCAAGCCAGAGTTTGTCTGTGATAATAAATGGAACATCAAATATGACCAAAGTTAAAACTAGATCTATTTGATACACATACTGCTTTACATATGGACATCATGTCACAGATGCTTTCATCTTACAGTGTCTCCTCCACTTTTTGGAGTCACACTATTGTCCCTCTACTGCTTTTTAGATATTTCAGCAGCTGTCTCAGGGGCAACCATAGGAAATGAAAACTTCACATCTATCATTTTTTCCTTACTATCAGTTTTAGGGTACTGCTTAGGATTAAGGAATGTGTTTAAAGTATACTTTTTAAAGGGGTTCTATTTTGATTCATTAGATTGTTTATTTTAAGATAACCCTGAACTCACCTTATTTGAAATTTATAAAACTGTATCTGATTGAACTCCCAGGTACTTTAGTTTAATTTCAAATCAAATTCTGTGGGTTTACTAAAATGCCAAGTCTATGTTGACAGAGGAAAGATATCTCAAGTTTTTCCTATATGCTATATTTTAAAGATAACTTCACAACAGCAACAACACAATTATAAAGAAGGTTTATATTTTTTAAGGATTAAATAATGACTACAAATATATTTGAACATCAGCCCACTCCTTTATGCAGGAAATTTCTACCTCCAGTCAGTCAATAGGTGAGATTCTGAAGTTAACAGTGTAGAATGCCTTTAGTTCTTCATCCAATTAGTATTCTTGAATAAATGGTCATTTTTCTTTTCTCCCCAATACAATGAATGCTTGGGTTATGGATATTTTGCATTACATGAAGAAATGCAATACAGTATATCAGAAGAACACGTACATAGGAAAAAGTGGGAATTCATAATCATAATAAATGGTACTTTTAGTCTCAATATTTATAATATTCACTTTGGAATACTTGATTTAACATTGACAGACAATGGAAGTTTGCCATGGTAGTAATTTTCATTATTTTTTCTTCGCAGGCCTCCATATATCAGTCATCTATAGACAGAAGCCTGGAAAGGCCCAGTAGGTAAGAATCTCATTGCATTATACCACCAGAAGAGTCTGTGCCAGTGCTTTCTTTTTCAATAGCAATATTATTCAGTGCAGTAGTATAGTGAAGGTTATGTATCATTCATTCTTATGGGCGATACCTCATAAAGTTAATTTTTTTCTACATTATTTTGTATGACAATATTCAAGAATTTATAAAATAAATTAAGTGAAACAATTCTGTATTCCTTCACAGGTTGATAAATTCTTCTCTTTCCTGTCTCTGCTGTACTCAGTTTTCTTTCCTTTAAATGGAAATATTAAATAACAATTTAATTTCTAATTTTCAATGTTGTCAAGTAATATGATATTTGTAAAAATTATACATTAGAAACTTTTACATACATATTTGCTAATTATACTCTGACTACACAAATAAAAAAGTTTTTACTAGCAATAAATGATGTCTTAATATATTCCAGGCACTCAAAGAACATAAACATAATTCAATCCAAAGACACACTAACTTAAATACCACTGCCCCCATTTATATCTAAAGAAACTAACAGTTAGACTCAGTAACTTGCCAAATTTACCCAGTTGTAAAGAAGACAAAACAGAAGCAAGATAGTTTATAACCACTAGGCATAATTGTCCTCAGAGCCTGACCAAGGTAAATTCTGTTAGCAGGCTTTAAATATCACACTTACTTCAAAATATTACCAAATTCAGACATCGTTAAATAGCAATATTGAATATTACAAACTCCCAGCCATACTGTATCATCAACAAATATTTCTATGACATTAATGTGCTGTTCTAGAAGTTTCTATCAACCTAAATAGAAAACTGTGAATTAGGCCCTTATAAAATGGGTTCTTGCAGTCCATTCAAAATCGCAAAGAGATGATCTCTCCCAACCTCTCTTTTATGTCTTTTGCATCCACATATGCACCTAAACTGTTTAAAACATGTGAGTTGTAGAGTTTTAACCTGATCTAAAGATTGCTATGAAGGCACACGGACCCTCACACAGCAGGATAATCATGGAAACACAGGTCTTGGAGATGGGATACGCTCTTTAGAAGAGTACAGACTAATTCTGAGGTCTGGCTCCACCTATGTGACTTCTAGGCATTTGTGCTTGATAATCTATGATTCCTCATAGGTTGCTGTGTGACCTAAACAAGACAAAAATGTAAATAAAGCACATAACGTACTGCTAGGCTCCAAAAGAGCTACAACTCGTGTTGTCACCATTGTTTATATAATTTTATCTAGTGATTCCACACAGAATGTGGCATGATGTATCCCTTCATTCATTAAGGTTTTCCTTAAATGATACAATACTCAAACTCAAAACCATGACAAAAAGAAAAACCCTCCCTACCATTATAGACCACTGGAAGAGAGTAGAGAGGAATTCTCTAGACAATTGTCTTTCAGTACCTAGAGAGGATTGGCACTAGCACTCCCCAAGGACACCAAAATCATCAGATGCTCAAATCTTTTATATATATAAGTCACATAGTATCTGCATGTAATCTACTCTCATCCTCTATATACTTTAAATTTTCTCTGGATTACTTCTAATACCTCACACAATATCAATGGCATATAAGAATTGTTCTGCCATAGTGCTTAGGAAATAATAACAAGTTTGTACATGTTCAATACAGGTGCATTTCAAAAAATATTTCCAATTCACAGTTGGCTGAATCTGTGCGTTCAGAACCCACAGATAATGTAGGGCCTGTATCAATTTTTCTGTAAGCCTGAAAGTTCTCTAATAAAAAAATAAGGACTATTTTTTTAAAGTCTTTAAAAGTTGATTTTAAAGAAATCATTTTGAATGTCAAGGAATGAGTTCCTCAAAACACAGTTTTGGAGGTGGGGGCATGGGTATTGTACCATCATCTCTAGCATCTTCCAGCAGTCTTATTTAGTACACATGCTTACCTCCTCCAATACCAATCACACCTGACTCCGTCTTTCAGTTCCACAGGCATGGCCAGTGACTTCAGGAAAAGGAGGAAGAGTGAGCCTGCAGTGGGTCCCCCCAGAAGCTTGGGGGATCCAAGTGCAAGCAGGACCAGCCCAGGTCGGATGGACCTCCCAGGATCAAACACCACCCTTACAAAGTCTTTCATTAGTTCTTCTCCTTCCTCCCCATCAAGACCAAAAGGTGAGCAATAAAAAATGAACACACAATGTTTTAGTTCAAGTTTTAGCCTAGCGTACATGTGAAAGCTGGTCCAGTGATACTGACGTGTGCTAGCTTTACTTACTGTTTTCTCTTTTTACCTATATGTCTTGATAAAATATAGTTTGAGAACGATAGCTTTATTTCTACCCAGACTGACTCAAGCTGATCCTTCTCTGAGTAGCGTAGCTTAAAGGATTCAGACTGGTATCTGTTAATGCTTTTTTTTCCCCTCAAACAGACTATTTCTTAAATAAATCGAAGTATCAAATAACTCATCAGATTTATGTAGACTACATTTACATATAGTCTTAATTTTCTAATGTTTTTACAGCTAGCAAATTAATTAAATTTATAAACTAAGAATTATAAACAGCACAGAGAAAATTGTTGCCTGAAATATATGTTGTTTTTCATTCTAGTTAAAAATTATCTAATATATTAAATCATTTATTTCATTATTTACCTGTACTTTTATTTCCCTTCTCATACATGGTAGATAGAATATCCACATTGTACCATATAACACAGTGGTCAATTCACAACAGTCCACAATGAAAACTAAACTGGTTTCCAGCCATAATTATGAAGTGTAGAAATAAACAAGCTACTTTTTCAGTTGACCTGTCTCCTCTTAGGAAGTACAATAAGCTCAGTGTTGAAAGGGAGCAATTTACTCCTTCAGGTCTTAGAAGATCATTTAGTGCATTAGTGCCTGAAGAGTAAGACTATTTCTGAGATGGGAACTGAGGACTGAGCAAGCATCTCTGTGAACCTAGAGCCATACCAAATATGGGGCCTGACAATCTCTTCCAGTCTCTTGAAGTTGAAACAAAAGAGGGAGGTATTTTCAAATGTGTGAAGAAACTGAGTTCTAACAGAATTTCCATGAAACAGGACAGATTCAGCTATGTGTATCAATTGTGGGTCCTAAAACTGTTGCCACATGGTAGTTATAGGTAAGCAGTAACTGATTTATGTGCAAAAGACAGACTGATTGCGATGACTGAACTCTGGGTAAGCAAAAGGCCTACCTTTCTGAGGCCCAGTAAAAGCCATGAATAGTAAGAAGAAGGTCAGAGGAAGCAGACCCATTCAGTACACCTTTCCTCATTAACAGAGATGCCTTTAACAGAGATTCTACTCATTTTTGTAAACAAATATCTTAAGGTGACAAGTAAGTCATGAAATACCATTGATTCATTATTCTTGGGTACTACCCAAAAGTTAAAAGGATTCTGATGAATTTAGATACTTGTTTTATCATAGAGGGTGTTAAATCAACTTCCTTTCCCAAATACTACATATCTTGCTAATGTGCTTATGTACTTTGAAGAATTCTGGGAAGATCATAACTCTTGAGTTGTTGCTAGAGACATTTTCCTCCACTATGTTTTATTACTAAGAAGAAAATGTCCTGTTACATGTAATTTGGCTGCTCCCTTAACCCAGCAAAGCAAAAGAATATTTCCATATACTCCAAATTGAGGTCAAGTTCTATTATCCAATTGCAAGTGATTAAAAAAAAAAAAAAACTTCCCAGAAACAAAGCATGGTACATGTACCTCTGAAGAAAGTTTTACATTCAAAGGTTGAAGACTAGCAATCAACGCTGGTTTGAAGAAGGTATAGTTCTTTTCTTGAAAAAATATTGGCAGCAATAGCTCATAGCATTTTGCTTTAGCAACTCTGGAAAATCCATTTTCTTACGGTTTTTTCTTTCCAATATCATGAAAAAATCATTTAACATAGAGTATTAATTAAATGTAAATTTATAAATTACTTTTTATCTACCTGTTACGATAAATCAAATGAGCCTCAAATTCTGTCCCTATTAAATTAAGTCCATAACACTTTGAGTATTGTTAAATCTTTAATTTATTACCAGGTCATGCTACTAGCTTAAGAAGTTCAATAATCTGCGTACCATACTGGCAGAAATATGTCTGGATTCTGTAATAGGAGTAGGTATATTAGCAACCAATTGGGTGTTATGCACTACCTCTGGTGTCTGCAAAGCTACATATAATAGCTGGTCTTAAACTTTTTCTCTAAAGTTGAAGCTACATGTGTTAACAGTCTGTCTAGATTATAGTACACTAACTGCCTTGTCTTTGCTGTGCTGATACTGACACACTCTCCTCTCTTTCTGAACCTTTTAACTTCTCCAAATGTCTCTTTCCTGCCACGCTGCTCTGGATTGAAAGGTGGGGATGATACCAAAATGTGTCCATCCCTTTGCAATTACTCAGGGCTCAACAGCACCCCCTGCAGTGAGTTAGAGTACTGTAGCACTTATAGACAGCACTTAGATGTCCCTCGAGACTCTCAAAGGGCCATCACTTTCAAGAATGGCTGGCAGATGGCCAGGCAGAATGCAGAGATCTGGAGTAGCACTGAAGAAACAGTATCCCCCAAAATCAAATCCCGTAGCTGTGACGATCTCCTAAATGATGACTGTGATAGTTTCCCAGACCCCAAAACCAAGTCAGAAAGCATGGGCTCCCTGCTATGTGAAGAAGACTCCAAAGACAGCTGTCCCATGACATGGGGGTCCCCCTACATCCAGGAGGGTCGCAGTAATGGCAGATCAAGGATCAGACACAGGTCGGCCCATGATGCCCCAGGGTTCCTCAAAATGTACAAGAAAATGCATCGTATTAATCGCAAGGACCTGATGAATTCAGAGGTGATTTGCTCTGTGAAGTCGAGAATTATGCAGTATGAAAAGGAACAGCAGCATAAGGACCTCCTGCATGGGTGGAGTCAGTCCTCCACCGAGGAGGTGCCCAGGGACATGGTACCCACCCGCATTTCAGAATTTGAAAAGTTGATTCAAAAGTCAAAATCCATGCCAAATTTAGGAGATGAAATGTTATCTCCGGTAACCCTAGAACCCCAAGAAAATGGTTTGTGTCCCAAGAGGCGGTTTTCCATTGAGTCTTTGCTGGAGGAAGAAACGCAAAGTAGACATCCTTCTCAGGTTCAACGAAGCTACCACTCTCACTCTAAAACCCTGGTGCCCATCCACATTGAAGTCACCAGCGAAGAGCAGCCGAGAACTCATATGGAATTTTCCGACAGTGACCAAGATGGCGTTGTGTCTGACCACAGCGACTACATTCATGTAGAAGGATCCTCCTTCTGCAGTGAAAGTGACTTTGATCACTTTTCGTTCACATCCTCTGAAAGTTTCTATGGATCCAGCCACCACCACCACCACCATCACCACCATCACCATCACCGGCACCTCATCAGCTCCTGCAAAGGTCGATGTCCAGCCTCCTATACTCGATTTACCACGATGCTAAAACACGAAAGAGCTAAGCATGAAAATATTGAACAGCCCAGAAGACAAGAAATGGACCCTGGTCTGTCTAAACTTGCATTTCTAGTTAGCCCTGTGCCTTTCCGGAGGAAAAAAAATTTGACTCCCAAAAAACAGACTGAAAAGGCCAAATGCAAAGCCTCTGTATTTGAGGCTCTGGACTCTGCCCTTAAAGACATCTGTGACCAAATTAAAGCTGAAAAAAGACGAGGAAGTTTGCCCGATAACAGTATTTTGCACCGTCTGATCAGTGAACTGCTACCAGATATTCCTGAGAGGAATTCATCACTCAGAGCTCTCAAAAGGAGCCCCACGCACCAGCCCTTCCATCCACTGCCTCAAGATGGTGCTACTCATTGTCCACTGTACCAAAATGAGTGCGGGAGACTGCCTCGCAGTGCTTCTTTCCAAGACGTGGACACAACCAACAACAACTGTCACCAGGACCCGGATAGCGCACTGAGTCTCCAAGGTGGAGGAGCTTTTCTTTCTTTTACCTTGTGGCTCAGATACTCATCCTCCAGCTCATTCATGTTCCATTCCTACATCTCATCTTCTGAGCTGTGAGACCACTTGACATCGTTCTGTGTTGCGAAGCGAATGTTTATTGTGCAAATATGTCCTACTGAATGGTTCCCACTTGCCCACATGATATTTGGGCTTCGTGTGTAGCTTAAAGTGATCATCAATTCACAAAAATTTTCTCAAAAGTGAAAGGAAACCCATTCTGTAGCTTAATGTTAGGGTTAAAAAAAAAATCTGGTACATTGAGACAGCAAATTTAAAAGGCTATTTGAAGGCAAGAAACTATAATTGGATACCAATGTCCTTAACGGATTTTTTTCCATTGTAAAAAGAATCAAACCCAGTAGTTTACAGGTACTCTTTACTTTGACTTTTCTATTAACTTTCAAGCTTTGTAGCCATTAACGCAGATAGTGTGTTCATGTTCCGTACAGAAGATGCTATATCAAAACATTCAGCAATCAAACTAAACTTGCGATTAGTAGGAGATGTACAATTAAAGATTAGAATTTATTTAATGTCTTTATCCATTTAAAGAACACAACTGGGATAAAATTTTTGTGAATGTCTTTAAGCTGAATATGAAAGTCACATTTCCATCATGCAATGTATCCATTTCCTCTTTTTTTCCATTACTTACTCATTTTCTATTTCTACTGAAAAAAATCTTGTATTGAAATTTACAATAGACCAGGTTAAAAGTGACTCACCTACATTTTCATAGGTAACTTGGAAGAGGCAACACAGGACAAAGAGCAGTTTAAATGCAGAGACATGTGTTAAGGTTGCATAGCTTAAAACCACAGCCTGCTCTAATATTTTTATCCAGTTCTTTTCATTGATTCTTAAAGTTCATCTGTATACTATGTAAATTGCAGTAGGCCACAATGCACATTGCAGACTGCAAGTTGGGCTGTCAACAGAGACTCTTCTATATACCAGGTACTTCAAAGTACTTTATACATTATCTAATTAAGCAAGCAAAAAAACAACAGATGAGTGTTATTGCAAGCACTGCTTTAGAGTTGACACTGAGATCCAAATAGAATGAAAATTTGCTTAAGGCTGCACAGATGCTAGATAACCATATTCTACAAAATATAATTTATCTGGACAAAAAGAGATGTAATTTAAACTTCACATTTGTTCTGTACATATGGCAAAATTGTTAATTACCTATCATTGCATAAAGTTCCTTATTTTATTAGTATTTATGTTTGCTTTTTTCACTTACAGTATACAACATATTTCAAAAACAGTCAGAGTTTTAAAAGTCAATTTCTGCAATTGGAAATTTTCAGACCGAGACATATCAGAATCTAATTTTTTAAAAACCTCTGCTACCTTCTCCAGTTTTCCAATGCCTGAGATAATGGTCTCAATTTCATTAGTGTACATTATTGAAACATAATTTCAGAGGACCTTGAAATGCATTGAAATAATATTTGTTCTTTAATAAAATGTTTACTTTCAATTATGTTTAGCCCAAGTTAAAATACTTTATATTACATAGGCTAGTAAAAGTAACTTAAAATGTATGACCATCATGAGATCCCCATGTTCATAAAAGTACATCAACTTAGAATGAAAAATACACTATGTATAATCCTTCAAAATGCATGAAAATAACTGGTCAAGTCTTACCTAAAATATTTGGGGGATGGGCCTCAGTTGCTCATGCCTGAAAGCCCAGCTACTTAGGAGGCAGAGATAGGTAGATAGCAGTTTGAAGCCAGCCTGAGCAAAAAAAAAAAAAAGTTAGCAAGACCCAATCTCAAAAAACAAGTCTAGTGGGATAGTGCACACCTGTTATCTCAGCTACCTGTGAGGTAGGAGGCAGAGATAGGAGAATCATGGTTCAAGGCTGACCCCAAGCAAAAGTGAGAGACCCTAATCTGAAAAACAACTAAAGCAAAAAGGGCTAGGGATGTTGGCCAACCAGTAGAGAACTTGCTTAATAAGCATGAGTACCCCAGTACTGTAAAAAGGAAAGAAGGAAGGAAGGAAGGAAGGAAGGAAGGAAGGAAGGAAGGAAGGAAGGAAGGAAGGAAGGAAGGAAGGAAGGAAGGAAGGAAGGGAGGGAGGAAAGAGGGAGAGAGGGAGGGAGGAAGAAAAGAGGGAGGGAGGGATGGAGGGAAGAAGAAAGGAGGGAAGGAAGGAAGACCATGGCCCCTTCCTAAAGGCTTTGAACTTCATAACTCCTAGACACTTGTCCTTATATGTCATGCAACTGATATCCCACTTATAAGCTCTTCATTCTTCCATACAATCAAAGTAGTAAAAGCTTTAAAAGATGCTTCCTTCTTACCAATCAGCATTTTTTAATTCCTTCAAACAAAATAAAATGAATTTTATTTTTAAGTTTCTTACTATTGAAGAGAACTAAATTTATTAAAGGGGTAAAAGAAAGAAATGAAAAACTTAGACCCAGTTACACTAGTAAAATTCTACAGAATTAGTGCTGGAATACTTCAACTCCTCATTATATTTCCACATATAAGTCATGCAAATGTGTAAGGTGTAAGAGACTGTTAATGAATATCTGCCATCATAATTTTGTAATGTAATTACTTATAATTTGTTTTAAGGTACAACTTATATGATGCTTTCTTCTTATCCCTTTATTTTCTAGAATAAATATTTACTTTCTGATAAGGTAGTTTATCAGCTGAGTATAACAGAAGATCATAGATAAAGTGTATAATATCTTAAGACTCAATAAATATTTTCGAAACAAAAAAATAGAAGAGAGATACGACCATAATCTTCTCATCATCATACTTTCTTTTTCATTACTACCTTCTTAAATTGTTGTTTCACAAAACATTTCTGTTTCTACAAATTGTTGCTATTTTTCAAATTCTCCATCTTCTATAGACCTTATAATAGTAATTATAACTTGGAAGCAAAAAAAAAATAGAAAGAGTAAAGTATTGAAAAGTTTTTAATATGAAAACCCCTAGAACTATGATTTGTCTACACTGAGAGCTATAGTAGAATTAATTAGCAATGAAACAATTGTATTTATATATGCATATGATTACAATACTTTCCCTTGGCTGTTTCTCCTTTTGAATGTTCTTGTTTTTGTGTGTCTTATATCACAACGTTCTAGTTAACTATGAGTTCTACACCATGTTTTCATTTGTGGTATCTCTCCAAACTTGGGGGTTGATGATAGTTGACATCAGGGGAAATGTCTGAGAAGTCTTCTGTCAATTAAATGAGGCTTACTCTGGCCCTATCCTTTCCAATAGACCGTGAGTCTCCTAGAAGTTACTCATCCACTTTGCCCGACTTGGGGAGAAGTGCATCAAGGGAACGAAGAGGATCTCCAGAAAAAGAGGTAATTAATTGAGCACCATGGGAGTCTATTTTTAACCTACTTGATAAAGCACTTAGCAGCCAACTGGACATCCCAAAACCAGTGAAGAACTAAGGATGGAACATGAAATCACAATCAAGAAACTAGATAGATTTTCCTTGGAGCCTGAGTCTAGGACTGGAGGCCATTTGCCCACTGACCTGAGCTCCAGTTCTCGCGTTTTGATCCAACTGGGCAGAAGGCCTTTCTGAGTCTTAACCTGGAACCTACTAGACCCACTGTGGTCTAAAGAGTCCTAAGTTGGCTGCCTTGTGAAAGACAAGGTTTCCTCTTTCCAATCTCCTGGCCCCACTGGTCCCACATCCACTGTATTGTAAATCGATACAACTTCCAAACAAATAAATTTACTGCTTACTTTTGTTGGAAAAGATCCATCCATTTCCTACAGCACTACCCCTGGGAACCATGTGCCAATTGGGTCTCAGTCCAGGGTCTTGAGACAGGGCCAGAACATTTGTTCCTAACTGTCCCAGACCCAAGAAGGCAGAATGGAAACTGAAAGCTGATCTTGGGTTGGCAACCACTCCAGGAGGAACAAGGATCAGTTCAGAGCCTGTGGGATCTGTGGGATCCTCATGATGTCAAAAATTGTTCAAGCTTCCTGAAGTTCACTAGAATCACAGAGACAGAGAATGGAGTGAAGGGATTGTCATTTGGTGGGGAAAGAAGAGCTAATGTCACTAGCTGTAGGCTACATGGAGCCTTAGGCACATTTGTGGGTGCCAACATTTAAGGATAGGCAGGTACATCACATCATAACTTAAAGATGAGCAGTGGTTGACAAGGGCCCCTGAACCCTCTAGGGGGTGCTAGGTGTTCACACCTACACTTTTGACCACCAACTGGCCTCCCAGTGATAATTGGGCTAGTATTCCTTGGCTAATATGCTAATAAGTATTTCGTGAATGAGATTATGACTTCCTTCATGCAGTTTGGTCCTTTTATTATGATTCAGACATGAGCTGTGTTAATCCATAGAACATAGAGCAATTATCCACAATTATCCCAGGAGAAGCCTTTGTAATAGCCAAATTATACCTCAGGCAGAATCCTAAAATGACATTTTATTATCCTAATATGGCATTAATCTACTTTCATTACTAAAATAAAATAGGATTTTGCAGAGCTCAGTTATCAAGATCCCTGATGTAGCTTATAAATCTAAATGCAGAACTAATTGGTTTATTTGTAAGTTGCATCTAGAATTTATGCTACATATGTTTAATTATTCCTTAAGGTTTCATTTTCCTTTAATGCATGTAAAACTCTTTCTTGTAGGAAATACACATTTTAAATTAATGCTAATTGTTTACCTTTCTTTTCAGAAATTGCCTGCAAAAGCTGTTTATGATTTTAAGGCTCAGACATCTAAGTAAGTAGGAAAAAGTATTCATCATGTGGGCTTTGCCTATGCTAGGAATACTTGAAGAGATAAATATTGCAGTGGGGTGTGTTACAAATAAGACCTAATCCCCACTCTAACAGGTTCCTTCAGAATTACTCATTGGAATGTGATTATTGTATTTTCATTTTGAGTTTAGTTGAGAAACACTGAGTCTTAAATTCCATGAAGCCTGTTAGAGGACAATGAGCTCAAAGAATAAGACAAACAAAAAGAAATAAAGAATCTTTGTTTCTAAAGTTTCTTGTCAAGAATTAATTAAAAATAAACATATGGAGAGAAACTAGCTGTAGCTAGAAGACGTGAGATTCTTCTAGCTATATCAAGAATTGTCTGTGAGGCAGTGAGTAGAATGGTGATCAAAGGTTTCTGTAGTGAAATCACTTCGAAACCCTCGAAGCTTAGAGATCCTGAGCAGAGTTCACTCTTGTGGCCCAGTGGGATTGGTGTTTTCTTAATCCTGGGTTGCACTTTTTCTCCTACCCTGTTTCTTTAGGAATTTGTTTATCCAAAAAGCAACCAAGTAGTTGAGGAAGATAAGTACTGAGCACCTGATACTTAAGCAGGAGCAAGTTGCCAAGATCTTCTCTGGCCTACGTGCACAGAACTTACTTAAGAAACTTTGGCCTCCATTAGAACTCAAGCTATTGAATTCATTGTAAATTGCCACTGAGTTGCACTGTGTTATCTAAACTGAATATAGAATAACCAAAATATCTCCTTCATAAAAATGCATATAATATAAATTACTAGGTCTAGAAGCTAGTGTAAAAAAGTAGTCAGAATTTGGCAATGCTGATGAGATATGGAATAAACTAAATCTTAAAATTATCCTATTCAGAAATTAATACTGAGCATGGCTTAAATCTGGTATAAAAAGTAAAATCCCAAGGAAAATCTCACATATTTTAATTGTGTCAGTTGTCTTACATTAGTGCAATAATGTAAGGGATCATCAATTTATAAAGAAATTTATTTATTTATTTATTTATTTATCAATTTATAAAGAAAGGTGGATTTGGGCCCATGGTTTTGGAGGTTTCAGTCCATGATCAGGAAGACCCATTGCTTCTGGTCTCTGGCCAGAAGGGACAACATCTCAGGACAGAGACATGTAGTATAATGCAACCATTCACCATATGACAAGGACATAAAAGAGAAACAAAGGAAGAGACCAGACTCTACCCATCCTCTTCAAGGACATGTCTCCCAATCACCAGAAGTCCTCCCATTAGGCTGCACTTCTTAAAGAAGAGCCATGCTGGGACTAAGTCTGAAACACTTGGGCATTTTTGGGGCAGTCATGATACAAGCTATAGCATAAGTTCTGTTTTGTTTCTACTGCACACTGGTCCTAAGTACTGTTCTTTGGGCATCATATGACAATACATATGGTGTGTGTTATAAAATAATGACCAGAGTATAATTATTCTATTTCTTCTTTGTGACAGTCAAAAACTTCCTTAAAATGTACTACCCTGAGGAACAGCAGAGTGTATAAAATAGGAAAAGTGACTGCCAGGGGCTCACAAGACGTTTTGTAAAGTCCTTATATATAAACAAGCTTCAAGGAAGATAGTTTGCAATGCAAAGGAAAGTGGGCTGTTGATTACATCACAGGATTTTGATCACTCCAGATGCCAAACTCCTCACCCTACTCCATGGACTGTGTCTTCTTCTTGAGTGCCATGGATGAGTGTAGGCTCAAGAAAACTTTCTCTCCCACTCCTTGCCATGGGAGCAAAAATGCCAGCGCCTGTGTCAAGGGTTGTCTGTACCAACCCTGCCTTCCACCAAGGTCATCACTAGGTAAAAATCTAATTGGGCACGTAGAGTAAATAACCACCCATAGAGGCCATTTATAATTTTATTAAGAGGAAAGTGTTCCTCTCATACCATAAGTAGGTTGAACCTATTGCTGTTTACCACATTCCTCCTGCTCTGTTCTCCAGAGTCAGGAAGAGCAGTCATCCATCATCCCCAGTGTAGTTCTGTATTTCACACAAAAATCATGGTGATGAATATGTGCAGCTTTCAAGGTCTCCCACTCCCAGACACCACTGAAAATGACAGGACCAGCTACATATTCAGTCATTTCAGTTAACAGGTGCATGATTTTGAAACCTAACATCAAGAGACACATGTATCTGTTTTAAATAAATATGCACTTTAAACCCATGTTCAAGAATAATAATTATAAAAATATAGTTAAATAATTCACCAAACATAATGTATCAATTTTTAAAGAGAAAAAGAGAGAAAATGGGCATCTCCCTAGGTCATTAACAGCTACTTTTCAAAAAAGGAATGAAGAGTGTGGGGTGAATAAAAAAGCAAATTTATCAAAAGGATTCTAACTCTGAGATGAAAGACACAGTTTTGAAAACTAGAGAATTAGATGACTTTCTTGTTTCTAGATGACTTCAAAGTTTTAAATGCAAGCCAATGCAAGTAGAAAAGATCTTTCTTTGTAGTTAAAATTTAAGAATTAGTTGTTTCTAATTTCTATGCACATTCAAAAAATTTTGAAAAGCTAGTCCCTTCCAGAAATAAAATATCCCTGGTACAAATAAAACTGCTGAGTTGTAAACATATATTTAGTTTTCTGTTTTGTTTTTGCTTTTTATTGTTGTTGTTTACATTGGGCATTTGTATATGTAAATCACTGTGAAATACTGTTTTAGGGTTTCTAAAAATGTTATGCACTTTCAATATAAAGATTTTAGCACTTCTAAGATTGGGCATGATGCCACATGCCTGTAATCCCAGCTACACGGGAGGAGGAGGTAAGAGAATCAAAATCCAAGGCCAGCCTGGGCAAAAACATGAGACTTTGTCTGAAAAATAAACTGAAAGCCAAAAGGGCTGGAGAAGTTGCTCAGGAAGTACAGCACTTCCCTAGGAAACACAAGGCCATGAGTTCAAATCCAGCAATCACCAAAAAATAAATAACAAGTCTAAATGTGTAATTGTTCTTCTAGCATGCAACAATTTTTCCAATTAATTTTTTAATCAATGAAATACATCCTCCATCTGATGTAAATCTCTCTTCGTCATATTCTCTGCACTAGTAAATGAGTCAACTAAAAATTCTGAACTAAACAAGAAAAATGCTTCCTGAGTGGGAAGGCAGATGTGTAAGACAGCAGGGCTCTTGGGAAAAGACACAAATTAATTGCCCTCCCGCAAAGTATAATTGTAGAAGCAAAAATAATGCACCATTAGAATTACTGGAGTAATAAAGACAAGAAATCCTGAAACAGTGAGAACGATAAATTTAGACATGAAATATTCAAAATAAATAATGTCTTTAGAACTTAAATTTTATTTCTTCCCCTTATCTCCAGGCCTCTTTCTTTTTTTATTATCGTATTATTGTTGTCCTGGGGATACACTGGGACATTTACAAAAGGTCTTACAATGTATCATGGTTGAATTCACCTCCTCCATCTTTCTCCTTTATCCCCTCTCCCCTCATTCCTGGAATGGTTTCAGTATGTCTCATTTTTTCATTTACATACATGAATATGTAATGTATGGATATTTCCACTGCATTCGCCCTCCTACACCCTTTCCTTATATCTTCCCTCCTCCCACTGGTACCAACCTCCAGATAGGACTTGTTTTACCTTCCTATTCTCCAATTTTGAAAATGAGAAAAAGACATTTCGTTTGTTTAAAAACTTAAAATGTAAAATACCCAAACGTACGGTTCAGTCAAAATTAGAAAAATAGATTTAGTGTCCTTAAATATTTTTCTTTTTAAAAAACAAAACCTATAAAAAAGAAAGCAAGCATCTTCATGTGTGGTCACACTTAAAAGATACCTACCTTTGTGCCCCATCAAAACAATCAAAATTAATTCCTTATCAAAATTCTTTAAATACTTGTCAATTAACTTCAGATATGCACAAGTAAATATTTTTCTGGTCTTGGATCTTCTGAGACTTCACAATGTCACAATAAGCTAAGCTTTACCACATCAAAGGCAGAGGGGGACTAGGCCTCTAGCTAACTAACTTCAGTAGAAAAAAGAAAAATTCAGTGCAGCATTAATCCATCATTTGGTAAGTTTTACAGTGCCTCAACTACAAACTAATGATGAGATAGCAAGAGTGTGTCCCTTCCATTAAATTTCATGTTAATTTCCCTATGATTTATACCGATGTGATGCTTGTACTTGTGCTTTTCAGACTAATTTCTGATGTTGTAAATGGATTCTAGGAACTTGCAAGGAAAATCCTTGTCTAACGAGCTCAACAGATCTTTACGTACTGGAAGCGTATTTCCTAGACAAATACAGATCTAGGAAGGGTATTGATCTTAAGAATAATGGCTATACATGTTGAAGAAGCCCACTTACACACATCTCTTCCAGGGAGCTGTCATTTAAGAAAGGCGATACCGTGTACATCCTCAGGAAAATTGATCAGAACTGGTACGAGGGAGAACACCATGGAAGAGTGGGTATTTTTCCAATCTCGTACGTAGAGGTATGTCTTCTCCCCCTCCCTCTGGATGGTGGTTGTTCCAAAAGTGCCCACAAGTTCAAGAATCAATGATTGCTTTCCTTCGTAGAAACTCATGCCTCCTGAAAAGGCACAGCCTGCAAGACCCCCTCCCCCAGCCCAGCCTGGAGAGATTGGAGAAGCTGTAGCCAAATACAATTTCAACGCAGACACCAACGTGGAGCTCTCGCTCAGAAAGGTAACCCCGCCGTGTTCTTCATGGATGTATTCAAAAAGACAGTGTATTTCTGAAACTGAAACAGGTTACCTACTTCCTTTAGACATTTTTGGGTTTTCTCCTCTTTCTACAAAGAACTCCTTAAGGCTACCCAGGTTTGCTGGTCCTCAAGTCCTTCCACAGGTGGTTCCTGGTGAGATGAACAACTCTGAGGGTTCCTCTGTGACTTAGGTTGGGAAGCAGGATCCCAAGTCCTCCCCCAGAGGTGCCTTAGGTGGATATCAAGAGTTGTATGTGTAGGATTATGAAAAGGATAAAGCACTTTAATACACCTCAAAATATTGCTGTTCTCTTGCCTGATGATTCAATTAAAAAATAAACAGGGTATCCCAATACTTACTTTTCTCTATCTTGAAATCAAGGAATGTTCCTATAAAATAATGAAGATATTTCCTCTCTAGGGAGCCTTTTTGAGGAGCCATCTGTGCAAGGCTGTTCCCTTGATCATCCTTCCCAGGCCTCATGACTGGCCTGAATTTCACTAGCAACCTATCCAATCCTAGTACCCCTTCTTAACAGTTTTAAGAAGAAATCTATTAACTTGCTGCTCTGTTAAAATGATAAATGAACTATTCTTATTGTTTGCTAAACACTGACACATTTCTTAGAGTCACTCACGTCCACACACAACACAGACAGATAGTAATAATAATTAGGATGAGGTGAGACCTCCCATGCCTGCTGACCAAGTCTTAGCCAGGTGCAATGATGAAAAATTCCAGTCATGGTTCTGGAAGAACTTCATGTCATTTTCTACTTTTTGTCCTCATTCTGCTCAGCTGATTCTCTGTCACCCTCTACCCTGCACCACTTAATATGAGAACCCAGAGCATTTCACAGTGTCATCTTCTATTTCATACTTTAAAGAAAAGCTTTCCCAGGGCCAAGCATGGTGGTATGTGCCTATAATCCTAGCCACTCAGAAGGCAGAGGTAGGAAGATCTTGGTCTGAGGCTGGCACAGAGAAAATCATGAGATCCTATCTGAAAAATAAAGTAAAAGAACTGTGGTGTAGTTCCAGTGGTAGATTGCTTGAGTCTGATCCCAAATACTGAAAAAAAAGGCTTTCCAAGTGCATCTCATAGCTCACACAACAGCCTAGCCACTGCCGGGGTGATTCACTTTTCTTCAGTATGTTCTGCTCAGTGATGATGGGACACACTAAATAAAACATCTAGTGCTTTGACAAAACGAAAACCTCATCTCAGTAGCATCTGAGAAGGGCTCCATATTGTCCTGAAGTTACTGCTTGAGTGTCACCTCCATCACTCTGTCAGGTGCAGTCACCCAAAACTCATATCACCTCTGGATGCAGCTACAGTTTTCCCTGTTTAACAGCAATTTGCCAACTTAGTTCCACACCACATGTGATTTTTTTTTCTTTCTCCTCTTATTTTATCGTTTTTACATTTGCTTACATATGTATACAATTTTGTGCCACCTCCCCCCAAACCGCCACCCCTACCCTCCACATGTGATTTTGAGTTAAAATTTAAATTAAATTAGATTCTGTGGCAGTGGTTTGGGCACTGCAGGTGGCAGAACAGTGGATGTGTATAGTTCCATGACTGCAAAAGCCAGGGATTCTATTCAAATATTTAATGAACGGATGTCATAGCCTCCAACCAATCAAAATGGATGCTGGTGTTACTCTCCCCTGATGTAGACCAGGGGGATGTCAGTCCTGGCCATGGTGATGGATTTTCTATGGTGCTAGATTTGCCCCCATCCTTTTCATTCACTCTTTGTCACTAGTGAGTACATGTAGACTTCAGCTTTATCCCTTCCAGAGGTGCATTTCTGCAACCCATTTCAGACACACTATCTTAAGGTCTTTCTACAGGTCATTCCATCAGATCAAGTATAGATAGGAATATGCTGTTATCACTGAGTTGTTACCTTTTCACCTTATCTGCTAGTTGAAATAACTTACACAAACCATGCACACAGCCCTAGCATGAAACATTTATAAGTCTATTCACATTAACCAAGCATCCTTAGGAAGACTCTAATGCCATGAATGAATGGCTTAATGGCATATTTGTTGTAGTGTTTTCTAGTAATTGCTAGGACTTTATTTGCATTCCTCTGATTAAGCAAAAACTTGCAAGTGTAAAACTTTCCCAAATGGCAAACTATTATTTATTAGAAAATAATAACAATTATATTTTTGTGTCTGTATTGATAATGCATTTTCCTAATGTCCATGCAGGGAGATAGAATTATTCTTCTTAAGAGAGTTGATCAAAACTGGTACGAAGGTAAAATTCCAGGAACCAACAGACAAGGCATATTCCCCGTTTCCTACGTAGACGTCATCAAGAAGAACACAAAAGGTGCTGAGGAATGCCCTGCTCCTCCAATACCCCACAGCTACTCCAGTGATAGGATTCACAGCTTAAGTTCCAACAAGGTAAGAAGACATTCTATTGCATTAATGTAACACTTGGGAGTTTGGAGTATAATAATCACTGTGTGATTTGGGGATATTAAGTTAGAACACTGCATCTATTGCCATGATAGGAATTTACATATTATGTTTCTGTATGTGTGAATGCCATCTTAGTAAATATAATTCAGTTTTTCTCAAGTAGGTGCTGGCATAAAGGTTTGATAGTTGCTTTTGATAATTCTGCTTTCAAGTTAAAATACTGAAAGAGGAAGAGAAAGCATGAATGTCATAGACCTCTATATGATGCAAAGCTATATTTTTTTGTATATATATTTTCTGAAGCTTGTTTTTTTCTGAAGTTTATTTTATGTGTACATTTTCTTTGTATCATATTATTTGAATAAGTATAGTTACACATTTGTATGTACAGATACAATTATAATTTATATATACCAGTATGTATAAGCATATACAACATAAAATGGTGTAAATGAATAGCTATGTATAGAAATCCCAAAATGATGCCTCTCAAAAAAACATGGTCATTAGGTTGACAAAATTCTGTAAAAGCCTTGAGACTCATTTGTACATAGCAAGAGAGCTAAAATATAATTTTTAAATTAAGGTCTATAATTCCATTTATTAGTTTCAGTGAAAATGGTGTAGAGTACTACAAATCTTCAGATTTATTGCATTTGTTTTAGAGCCACTGATTCTGTTTCACTTGAATGAGTAGCTGAAGATGATTGTCTTTCTCAATACATAGTTTAAAAGGGGCTTTTCTTCCTGAATTTGGTTAATTAGAAAAAGTTATCCTATTTTCTTTACTCGCAATATGAATTTTTTTCTTATTTTTCTGTTATATTATAACATCCTTTTTATGGATGGTATTTGGGGATTTCTTTCTCCTTCTCATTAACTTTAGTGTATAAAACTTTAAGTTGCCAAGGAATTACTTCCAAAATATGAGGTACTTCCCAACATTTCAAAACATGTATTAAGTTGAATAATTTGCTAGTTGTTTTAATTGAGATTGAAGCTAGGAGATGCAAAAATACAATATCTACAGCCAACATGTCAACACTATGAGATCATAAAGCCACTTCATATTCCAATGCAAGAGCATTTCCAAATAATGTCCCCAGTGACCTAAACCATTCTTGGAAAATGAGTCTTACAAGGATTTTATACAGGTAAATGATCTACAAATCTAGCTTAAAAGACAGTGTCCTTTAAATAGGCTAAGGCTATGCATTTTATTCATTTTAATTCTCTCTGAAGACTGGGTTTCAGTGTGGGTTACCCTCAGTCCTCTATCATTGGATAACAAAACAGTTTTGTATTATCTGACTTTATTCAATTATGAAGTTTTCCAGAATCTTCCTAAATACATTTACTGCTAAATATATTTAACTTAGCAGTTAGAGATCAACACCTTTCTTTCCAAAGTTCCTATTGATAAAGAGAAAAGATAAGAATCTTCATCCATACCTATGTCTAATCTATGATCCATTCGTCTAAAAGAACTGCCAGTGTAAGGAAGTAGTATCTACAAAGGCTTATTTAGCATTTAAAAATTTACCCTACCAATGAAACTAATATTTTAGACCACAATTTTAATCTTGACTTTGAATATGATTTAAATATATTTTCTGCTTTTTCTTATAACATCAGATTTTAAATAGAGGACTATACAGATTTAACTAATAACAATTTTATTCTTACTGCTGGAAAAACATGTTAAAAGCTTATGTCCACAATTTGAAAAAATACTTACTAGTTTCATTTCAACTGGTAATCCATGTGATGATGTCATTGGCTTATGAAGGAAATTTCTCAGTAGTATTGCACTGAATCATTTTCAGAAAGAGAAATATATACTTCTCAACCATGAGATCCAAAATAAACTAAATATTACAACTCCTATTTCCCAATTGATATTTGCAAATAGAGAAAGGAACTCATTAATGATTTTCAAACCACTCTTTGACACATTCAAATCATTATTCTTCACATATTATCAAGTATTTTAGGGGAGACTGAAATGTAAGTTGATATTATTTCCACTTTTAGTACAATAGAGTCCAATGCTAATGCATCTGGAAGACAAGATAATTGTATGAATTTTGTATTACAGGTGTATTCTTGTGGAGTAGGCATCCCAAGGTACTTGACTTTCAGTACAATCAGATCCATTGCAGAGCTAAGCTCTTTCAACCTGCTAACATGTATCTGATGTCTCTGGGCTAGGGCAATGCAGTAGTTGCAGCAGCTAGCAATAGTGGCAGTGGTAGAAATGATGATCTTCCTTTCTCATCCACACTGGTGTCCATGAAAGAAAGTGAAATTGAAGAGCAATGATCTTGAATTATTATCAATTTCACAGACTTTCAAGATCTAATTATTAAAATCAAATCTAACACTTCGTGTTGCATAGCAAAGAACATAAAATAGCACATTAGCCAGTAAGTAAACTTCTGTAGACTATCAAATGAGACTTGGGTAATTTATATCTCACTAAAAATTCAATGTCTATAGCACTTAGTAGGAATGATTACTAACCTAGTCACAAAGAACAGGCACAGTCTAACTTTATATCAGATGATAAGCAGTCCTGAGCCCTAAATCTTTTATTAAGATGCTTGTATGAGTTTTATGACATTTTGTGCCACTTATGCCACTTCATGAAGAGATGACATATTTCCTTAAAAAACAATCTATGGACTGGATTATGGCTCAAGTGGTAGAACACTTGCCCAGCAAGCATAAGACCCCAAGTTCAAACCCCAGAACCACCAAATAATAACAGTACTAAGTTAATTAATTCATTAAACTAGTGAGGAATACACTGTGCACTTATAAATACTAAGGCCCAAATTCCAAAAGTGCTGACTGCATATGTGAAGTATTACCGTAAACAATCAATTAGAAAGTGCATCTCCAGAATCCTTGAAGAGTTTTCTTCTCAAACCAAAATCATCTAATTGGAAAGCACTAAACTAAAACGTCGTCCACCAGCCCAGCATCTTTTTTTTATCTAGCAAGAATACATCAATATATCAGAAGTTACTAGGCAGAACTTAGAGAACACTTCCCATGAATTTCCATGAAAAATTTACAATTAGTGTTTTGTTTAAAATATTCAGATGCATCAATAGTGTTAAAATACATGGGAGTACATTTTTACTTTAGGAGATTAAGCTGCATAAATTAAACTCTTCAAGTTTACATAAAGCATTGGGCTTTTGAGAGAGTATGGGCATCTTAGCCAACGTTTACTCTCCATGAGCATCTTATTCTCCCTCTCTGTGTAAACACTTACTTTGAATTTTTTTAATGTCAGTTACAGAAGTTATTGACTTCCATATCTGATCAGTCTGATCACAGGCCTCCAGCCTTGAAAAATATTTTTCAGAACTTACTCACTTAGAAATATGTTCATGTACAATAGTCTAAAGCATTTTATGTCCTACATTATAACCAGCTCACAAACATAAATCAGAGAATTGTGAAAGTGCAAAAGACTGGGCACTGATTCAGGAAGAAAGACCAGTAAATAAACTTAGGGGCAAAAAAAAAGGCTTAGCTATTGCTTTTCTTTCTGTATTAACATATCTTTAGAGACATATATACCTCGAAATCAATATCTAGAAACCTGCAATATCTTTTAAACATAAAGATAGTCTCAAACAGGTAGACTATTAAAGTAAATCTCTTAAGGTTTCACTGTCTCTGTGACAGGCTTATTTTCTCATTTGACACTTAAGACCTCTTCCAAAGCAGGTAGAATTTCATTGCGAAAGTACGTATTTTTAGTTGGTGGAGTGGCTCAAGTTGCAGAGCACCTGCCTAGGAAACGTGAGCCCCTAAGTTTGAACCCCAGTACCAAAAAAAAAAAGTATGTTTTTTAATTAGTGTAAATGATTTTATGTATTTAAATTTCAACAAAATTTCTTCAAATCCACATTTCTTCCAAATGTCTTCAAGTCTATGTCTATAACACAAAATAATTTTTTATATTTCCTACCACTTTTCCTGCATTTCTTTGTCTCTGTGTTTTCATGCAATATTATTATTTTCTTCATTTTTTGACTTCATAATTCCTGCTCATTTCAAAGTTGGCTTCCAGTAAACCGGCCCCTCCTCCCACGCACAAAGCTCTGCCCGGTTCAGACACAGGCGCCCCCAAAGGAAGTGCCCAGGAGTGGCTGTCCTTGACAAACCAGTATCCAGCAGCAAACTCATCCTTTCTGGACAACTTCTTGGATGAGTTAGCAAAGTTTAGTGCTTTAGCCTTGCCAGCTGACCAAGCCAAACCCAGTATCTTAAACGAGATCATCCTTGAAATTAAGGAGGACCCTTCTGTCCCCCTCCTGTTGCCTCCAGCATCCTTACTGGCCAAATCATCTCACTCTCTGTTACCTCCCCCCCACTCGAGTGTGACCTCAGCTGCAACCCAACTTGATGATGCTGTGCCACCTGAGGACCCCATAAAGACCACTCAAAACAAGACTGCACATTTGAACAAAATGAGAGGGGGCTTTGCAGACCCTAAAAATGTTCTTGAAGTCCTAGGTGATAAATTTGTGGCCTCTGCATGCACCAGTGTGGGTGCCTTGCCTATGACCCTCCCTGTCATTGGAGAGGAAGATGAGGAAACCTGTGAAAGGGTTGTACACCAAAAATGGCTGCCAGAATCTCGAGAACATGATGCCATATGGCATGGCCTCAAGGGTACAGAGGGGACATCATCAGACCTGCATATTGAGGAGGAAGAGGAGGAGAAACCCAACTGCTTAAAATATCAAGTAGGCACCCCCACGGAGCCTAGGACTTCCAAAGAAGACAGCAGTTCTACAAAAACCTATAATGAGGTATTTTACTTTTGTTTAACTATGTAAGAACTAACCAGTCTTACTACAGGCAGCTAGGATAGTTGATCATATTAATAAACATTTATTTTGAAACTGCCTTAGCAATTTTCCTTACAAGAAGCATAAGTATTGTATGAATCAGGGATG